TTATAAAAATATACTAGATAATCAAATTTATCAGCTTTATATTAATGTAAGGGCAGTGATATGATAAAATATAAATATAACAATATAACAATCAGGCCATTTTAAATATGACCGTTTTGAAAAAAGCTGATTTCGCTGAAAACACTGGCTGCAGTCTACCACACAAACAGAATCCTCCTTTTTAACACTGGGTTTCAATCATTGTATTCTTATGAAATTCGTGCTTTTATCAGCTTTTCTAGATTTAAAATAAATTCAATTTCAACTTGAAGTGTTTTTGTGTGTTTTACTGACCAACACACCAGTTTAATGATGATTTGGATATTATTTGATCAAACCACTAACTGAACGATATCAGTAGCTATAATTTTTTGATTTAGGTTGCCAGTAAATTTACTATCAAAAAGCGAATCTCTTTCCAGACTTGACGATTCTTTATCTCTAAATGTGCTCTAATAAGGCACTTCTCCATCTTTTTGCTTACTGTAAATCAATATTCCCTTACCTATGGTCATTAAAATACTCATAGAATTATTGATTGAAGGGTAACCATTTGTGTTTTCAAATTAGGCCACCGGTAATTTGAGTATCTAAAAACAACTCTATTTTCGTTCTTAATCATTCTTCGTCTCTTATATAGCCTAAGATACTCCTTTCACGTTACAATTTTTATTCTTTTTCTCTTATTTTAGTAATAAATAGATTGCTTAGATACTTTTTCGAACAAGAAACCCATTTTTGAATTGGGTTATTAGTAATTTCAGCCCGTAAAATGATTCTAATGGCGGTCTTGATTAGTCTTGATCGCTCTTCGTTTTATCTAGTAGATCTGTAACTTAATAGGTGTCGAATTAAAATATGGCTATTGAGCAATCAGAGAAAAATTTATTACAGCTCCTTAAAATACTTCATGGTATTAAATAGCGCCACATATGTTTATGTGTATCGGATTAAAATATCATTATTTAGTGATAAGAGAAAATTATTATAGCTACTTCAAAAATGCTATATGGTATTATATACCACTACATCTCTTTATGATATCGAATTAAAATATCGGTGTTTATTACCAACATCTCAAGTTCATCATGGTATTAAATAGCGCTACATACATTTATAAGTATCAAATTATAATATCACTATTTTAGCGATCAGGAAAAATTTATTATGGCTGCTTCAAAATGCTTCATCGTATTAAACAATACTATGAAATCGAAAAACTTCAATATGATCAATAATATATATACATGTACTATCTATCCGCTTAGATTAAGCTATCATTACGTCATGAAATAGCTACCTCGAGAATTTTGCATATCCACTTCCTGGTCGCAGACTTGAAACTAATCCTATACTAGTGATTACTAAGTCAGCACTCCAATCTTATAGAATGTAGGATAAATAAAATTAATTTTATTCTAATTTAGAAACTACGAATTGCTATATACAGTAATAGAAAATTATGACAGTGATATGGGCGCGGTATCACGTGATGGTACCGTAACTAGCAGGTGTCCACCATGAAGGTATAAAGTGCATATTTGTTCATTCCACACTTTTTACTATAGGAATCGTGGAAAAAATTTAATTTAACTGGAAATGACTCGCTAATCATGCTTTTTGTACTGATAGTATAGAAATTGAAGAATTAACTTCATTAGTATCCAATACAGATATTAAGTTAATAACTAGAATACCTGATATTTTCATCTTTTGCTATATCGAAATTCGTCAACGATTGAATCAAGAGAAACCAGGAGAATATTCTCGCGATTAATACTTAATCCAAAGGTAACATTTCGTATTGACAATTATTTCCCTTCTATCGAAATTAAAGTTATAAGTGCTGAAAGCGAGAAGAGATCGATAATACAGTAAATTATATCGTAGTTCTTTACAGTGACTGATAAAATCTTGAATTCAACCAGTGTTAAATCATTCCAATAGAAAGTAAAAGCTTTTGAAATTTTATCATATAGAAAGGATAGTAGCGGTCTAACTTAAATTAAATTGCCTATATGCTCATCTATCTTGCGGGAATGTCTATAATAGAAACAAGCTTATTCAACTGAAAGTAAATACCGGTTTGTAATCTTACATCACGGATTACTGTGCTATATACAGAACTAATAGATACAAACCATCTTATTTTATAATATGGAACGAAATCTTTCTATTGATATTTTTACGGTTGAAATAAAATTCAATTTTTAACTTTACTTCTATTTCATATTTTATATATCGTAGTCACAAATATTTTTATTTAAATGTTAATTTCGATCATATTTCTCAAAATTTGGTGATTAGTTTTGCTCTAAGCACTACTTGACTCATAGCCTTCGATTTTCGAATGAGGCTATGAGTTGCTTTTACGTTCCAAAAAAATCTGTTTTCATTCATAGCTACTATTATGACCTAAAGAACTCCCTTTTCATATCACAGTCATCTTTCTTATTTTCTTATTTAGGCAATAATATGCTCGCTCAAATTATTGATCATAGGTAGCTTTTCTTTTTGCTTTAGGCTATCGACGATTATTAGTTTCTAAAGATACCTCGATTCACAACCTTGATCATTCTTCGCTTGTGATATAGCCGAAAAAGTTTTTTCATATCCCAATTTTTATCATTATTCCCTTACTAGGGAAATTCAGTACCTGATCATGTCATCGACCAGACAGTAAAGCACTATTTTGAAATTAGGCTTTGGATGAGTTGTAATTCTCAACAATTAATTCTAGTTCAATCTTCGCTATTTTTCCCCTTATACAGTATGGTACTTTAGAATATTTCCTTTCGGAATATTTTCGTTCATTTTTTGCTCTTAAGTGAGCGCTAAGGTATTTAATTGATTCCATAAATGATCATTTTTGAAAATAAACTCTCCGTGGTACCAAGTCCTTGAAAATAATTCTGTTTTAAGTCTTGATTATACTTGATCAATTATATAGCCGGAGATGACTTTTTTTAATTTGTAATTGATATTTTGGTAATAAAGTACTTAACCCAATCACAAATGCCATATTTACTTTAATTTTCTTGGAAACTAGGTTAAGGAATATGTCTAATAAATTGCTGCTCAGCGTAATTCATTTCACAATTTTGTTGGCAACTGCTTGGGCACAATCAAGTAAGATTGATTAGTTCAGTATAACTTTAAATTTTCATCTTGAAAGATAATTCTAAATCAGTGATAAATTTCACTAAAAGGATTCGATATTAGCTCTACGTACGTGTTTTTATAGTGTGGTAGCTACACGTGATTACTACCTAAACTATATTTCTTGTGTAATTTTGAAATTGCTCCGATCTTAGATCCATGCCACTCTGTCGCAACAACATGTCAAAGTTGTATTTCTCTACCTCAATGTGCTTGGTGTTCCGATGAGGTTCGTGATACCTTATGAAAAGTTGTAGCGAATCTTTTTAGTAATTTTCTCTCTCAAGCTTGCAGTTTCAAACCAAACTTTCCTTCATTTTCACATTAAATACGGCTTTAAATAAATCGAACGTTATGCTTTTGTAAAATTATTTTAGATTTTTATTCGCACGCGATGTGATACTGCAGAAAATCTGCAGCAAAATCTGTGTCGAAATATTTCAAATCCTAAATCGACATCAACGGCCACAACGGTAACGATTTATATTCATTTTATATTGCGTTCAAATTGGGAGTAGTTTAGCCTTAAAAGGCAAAATTGATATCTGATTGATTTCCTTTCGTTAAATCTGCATCTGTAGATCAATTTTAAGATCTATTAGCATTACTTTACAGATATCGTAGTCCAACTGAAGAGCTGTAGCAGTGCCGTATTTAAGCTTAATATTCTTACGGTTAAATATTTACAGAAATCGATTCAGATTTAATTTAGTTTTAGCAGTAAAGTTGCAAAAAGTTAAAATTTAACTGTCGTAGATATGAATATCTATAAGAATAAATATAAGTTTCGTCTAGAAATAGTTATACCTGATAAGTGGCTTAATCAAGTTTAACAGATTTCCTCTGGTTTACCCTACTTATATTGTTGACGAGCACTAAAATATGTCCGCGTAAAATTCTTATTTACAGTTTATTATGATAATCTGAATTCCATTAAGCATATTCATATTTCATTATAGCTGTTATCGTACCTTCAGATTGATATTGATTTCCATTTACTTAAAATATAGTAGCATCTGTAACAAAAATTTTAAGTTTGATCAGCAATGCCAGACATCTTTGTGAAGTTATTGTACAATTAACGTAGCTGATATATTCTGCAATAGATTTAATATCCTACCGATAGAGATATTGAACACTCATCAAGAATGATATCAGTTTATATCATTCCGGCAAGAGTAGTATTCGTAGTAGTACTTTAATCAGATATGAATGAACAAATATAGTACCCTATAAAGCGCAGTCATTACCGATTTTATCCATTAATTTTGGTATAATTGATTTCACGATACTTGTTTTCATGTTTAATTATCTATTTGGTAATTATTGACTCTGTCTACACGTCTTGTACCTAAATGAGAGCAAATAGCTGCCTTGTCACTTATTTCAAGAATTACCCTAATATTACTCCTTATATCTCCTATACGGTAGAAATAAAGCTATTATTTGCATGTTTTAGACGCCACAATTTAGTGATACTCAGCAAGTATCGCCAACTCGATTTGAGGTTTCACTAAGGCCAGGTAAGAACATTCTATTGAATTATCGTAGTTCAGAGAGCTAAATAGTTAAATTACTAGTGATAACAGGTTATCAACTGATTAATAATGATCAAGTAAGAAGAACTACTAAATTATAAGTTGTTATGCGAATGTTTTATTCTATCTACTGCGTTTTAATCATCAACAGTAACTGTATGAACTATTGAAAACTATCTTCTGTCTGAGATACGTTCGTAATTATTAGAGGACGACCAGGATTAGATCTATCCTTATTGTACTGTAATCAGAACTTAGAATACCTTTAATTAACTTGATGTAACCCAATGTCGACTGAAAATAATGCATAAACTAGGTATGCCAGCAAATATTAACATTCAAGTTCGACCTGCACGAGATTATCCAGTCGATCTGTATATATTGATGGACATGTCTAGATCGATGTTGCCTCATTTAGAGAGATTGAAAACAATTGCCACACAATTGGGTATGTCTCTTACTCTATATGTATTTTGATTAACGGAAATGAAATACTGAATTGCTCGTGCGCTTCAATTATTGCAGCCAGTACAATTCGAAATTTGTCTTCCCAAAGTTCTTTTGGGTTTGGCACCTTTGTTGATAAACCAGTTACACCCTTTGGTTTTGGCGCAAAACGAAGGTAAATTATGTATAAGATAAAATTTCGTTTTAAGTACTGTCTTGCAGTACATAATATGAGGAGATGGAGGATGCATAGATTTAGGATAAATGGAACATACGAAATTGTGGCAAGAATTAATAATAACCTCTGTCATCTATCATCTATTTCTTTAGACAGTCATATCCCTGCTCATTTAGTGATTCTGCTAATAACATTCCTTGCGATCCAACTTATCTTTTTCGTAATGGACGTCCATTAACCACTGATATCAAGGAATTCCAGGTAATATCCTCGAATATACTTTTATTGTCAATTTACATTAATGCCTAATCTTGTCCGTCCTGTGGATGATTTTATATTACAGCAAGGTATCGATCAACAAAACATTTCTTCAAATAGCGATGCGCCAGAAGGTGGATTAGAAGCTTTACTGCAAGTATCTGTTTGTCCCCAGGTTAGTACATTTATATATTCCAGAGGGGTTGTTAATGTAATCATAGAGCTAAGACGGTTGCTTAGTCTCATGTTTACAAATCTTAAATGGATTTCTTGTTAATAAATACTACAACTATATGCAATGATGGTTAGCACATTGGATGGAGACGGGGGGCTCGCCATATCGTCGTTTATTGTACAGATGGTTTCTTCCATTATGCCGGCGATAGTAAGGTATTATGATAGGATTCTGATTCTCTTCATTAAATTATCGCTTGAATGCAAAATATGATTATAAAGGATTTAAGTTTATGATAAATTCATCATTCACAACAAGGAGTTACTTAGATCCTATAATATCAAACTACTGTAATTCTATTGTAGCAGCATCAATCCTGTACCAATTTCTTCCTACCTATTATCTAATGATGCTAATGACAAATAATTGTAGTACGAAAGAAATCAACATTTTTCCCCAGTAATTGGTGCTGGTATTTCCCTATTATACATTTTTAATCCAGGAAGCAATAACTTACTTCTAAGATTTAAATTGTCCGATTTATGGACTCTTAACTTTTCGATAAATAATAATTACGTTTACCATATTAAAGAATAGAACTAAAAAATTGTTATTTAATCATCATATAAAATTGATCTTCTTTCTTAGCTGGCAGGAATCTTTCTTCCAAATGACGGTGCGTGCCACATAAATTCCGAAAATAAGTATCAAGCTGCACTGGATATGGTAATGAGAAGACATAACTACTAAAGCTATCCAATTTCTGTTTTTATTGCCTTATCAATCTATCCATGACTGATCTCAAAGCTAAAAGTAACGAGAAAGAATTCTATCCATGATTAAAGTAGTGATCTATTAGCCTTAGTGCATCGAATAATATCCTAACAGACTAATACACCTTTGGATTATAAGATGTTATAACGATTATTGTAACATGATTAAGCATAGGCTTACTAAAGTGTGAATTAGGCGGTATATCGTACGAGTATAAATAACCATCTTTTTCTTGATATCATGATAAGCTAAAATATTTGCTGTTGGGTTATAAATGATGAAACAGCTTCTGTTTAATACAAATCGACAATAACGAAAAAGCTCACTTTTATGTCTATTTGTATTATTTTTTACTTCTAATGTTATCGCGATGCCTTACTATAAATTTTTATTGCGATTATTAAACGGTTGCACAATTACTTACAGTATGATTTCGTAGAGGTTAATAATTGTTGTAGTGTGTTCCATCTATAGGTGAAAATGTTGATCAGTGCGATCCTTGATAACTTTTAACGTTATTATGGATTAATATAACTATTTTTGATTATGAAATCGCGGATAAGGATTATCCATCAGTAACACAATTGCGGGAAATGTTGATCGAAAACAAAATCCTTCCGGTATTTGCAGTCTTAAAAAGAGCGTTAAAGGAACATTTTGTAAGCCTGTTGTAATTTACTTTAAATTTATCATTTATTTCAACAATTAGACTGCTATTAATTAACGATGTATTAATGCAGACAGTGGGTTTCATGTATTCTATAGCGTCTTATCATTACATGTACAATGTAAAAAAATGAAATTTTTCCGTTATCAGCAAAGCTACTGCAAAGAGCAACGTGAATGAGAGCATTTCTCACTGTTAATGTGATCAATTTAGGTTCTAGCCGACCATTTAACTGGAGTAGGTGCTATAGTTGGTGAATGGGAAAATGACGGCAGTAATATCATCAGTTTAATAGAAGACAGCTATAGAGTTAGCATTATTATCATCCTATTTTATTTATAAAGAATTTGATATTGTGACAATTCTAATACTTTATCAAACTTGAAATATCTAGAGAATTAGCTCCACCGTTATACTCACCAATTCTTTCGTAGAAAATGTATTGGTTGGCTATACTGCAACTTGCCCCAAGTAAGATAGAACATTATTAGAATAACTTTTAACAGTGAATCTAAAATTCTGGTCAATAAATGGCGTTAATTAATATTAAAATAGCCCAATTTAATAATAATGCCCACTTGACGAGATTATCTTTGTAGATAATATTTTAATTTTTGTAGCTAGAGTCGAACTTAAAGTAATAATATCTTATTATAGTAAAATGAGTTGTATTTAGTACGGTGATAAATATTCATGAACAATTATTCTGTACGTAGTTATTAGAAGAAATTAACACTATATGCAGCTTAGATAGTGGAGATATTAACTAATAATACTTTGGATATTTGTTAGTATGCCATAATGGCTTACATATTTTTTTCTTGCAATGCTTAGTTATCCTTACAAACTGTACTTACTATTGAAGTAAGGGAATATCGATACTCCCAACTATTAGTGTAAAAATTTTATAGCTTTATACTTAAGCTATCATTAGTCTGCTATCAAATTAAATGCCTAGTATAATTTTACTAATTCGTCAATCAGTAATAAGCGAACTTACTTGCTTGAAAAATGGTTTAAATGAACTAAATGCGAACATAAAGACAATATAGATATGTTGTTCCGCGTTTAAAGTATTAAATGACTATATTAATGTAATAAAAAGCATAGAATAATCTCTTATTAGTTAGTTATGCTGTAGTTTATTACTGTGTCAATTACAGTATAAAATATAACTATCCCAGTATTGCAGATCGCTGTAAGTTTATATGTGATTGCAATAAGATAAATACACAGGATATGCATACAAAAATTTTGATACGCTTTTACATGCAATGATATAACTAAACAGGATGAGCACATGAAAAATTCTGGTACATTATTATAAAGCTACTTCTTGCCTAGGCGATTGATGACGTTATACATGGATTACTAACAGCTCTTGTAATAGTCCATCCATTATGCTAGTAGTAGTAATTAACAGTGCTAATCATATAATTACAACAGTAGTTACGATAAAAATTGAGGGATACATATATTATTTGTTTTATATTTTTGTCCGTAATTGATTCGTTACGTTGTTATACAATATAAGTTTATTTGGGCTAATAGACCCGCTTTACTAACAAAATATTCTTTATTTTTCAATCAGTTCCTCTGCAGTTCAAGGGTTATCAGTATGCAATGAAACTGGAAATCTTCAAACGGTATAGTATATTGTTCGGCAAGCGAACCTTTATGATCCTCTTCTGCCACTAGATAAGGTGGAGATGTATCGATTTCACATGTATTAAGAAGCCCACTAAGTATAATTAGATCATAGAACATGGTAGTTAATTCAATTTTACTTTTACTATGAAAGTTTTGCTTATAACTCGTTCAAAATTGTTATTGCGTAATATTTTTTTGGCATAATCTTGTTTTGGAAAAGTAAATCCTATAGTAAAATAGATGTTGATATTTTTCACAAATTAAAATGATGCTATTATTACATTATGCTTCTTCGTCTTTCTAGGCTAGTTTCGATTTATCATTAAATTTAACCCAATGTCCAACTGACGGAAGAGCATCTGATGAGTAAAGATTTGCTGTTACAACTATATTTTATTTCTAAGTCATTTTTTTATCATTTTCCTAACTTAATCTCTTGTGAATGGATCTAATAGAATGGTAATTAGAGTAACTGGATTTGAAAATATTGTCGTTAAGATCAATTATATTTGTCAGTGTCAATGTGCCCTTCCCAGAAATATGGTTAGTTTCGGCTACTGTAATCAGTCGTATGCAGTCGTATGCTCAACTTTTTTCTATCGTTGAAATTTGCTGTAAGCAACATAACATAATAATATCGAAAAAATTTTAGTTTTATTACTTTTTCATGACATTTCTACAGGAAAAAAATAGCCCAAGATGCAGTAATGGAAATGGTGATTACTTCTGTGGTCAATGCAGTTGCTTAGCTGGCTGGTAAATTGATTGCTAAATTAATTTTCTAATCTTCAGAAATTTACTGTCGATGTTAGTTTATGAGCGTGACATCTTACTTTAGACATCCAGGCGTAGACCGCCATTATTATACATAGATTAAGTATTAATCGCGTGATATGTACCTTGCGTTTCAGTTTAATGATAAGAGCCACTTTTAACTTTATAGGGTTGGAGAAAGATGTCAATGTAGTGCGGCCAATTCATTTCTTGATGCACCTCGATGTCAAGAGTAATTACAAAGTTTCTATTCTAAATTTATATCCTTTGAAGCTTAATTACAAAGTTTATTGATTTAATAATATATCAGATTAATCGATTTCGTTGATAAATTTCATTAACTTATATAGAGGAAATTCAAGTATTGTTTGCAATAATCGTGGCTCGTGTATTTGCGGTTTATGCCAGTGCCAGACGGTAATGATGGATTTAATCATCTAACTAATTAATGCAACATTAAATACTAGCTAGGTTATTTTAAATTCCTTATCATTTCATAAAGAAATCTAGTAGATATCGGTACTTTTTATGCTAATCTGACTCTTACAAAGTTTTTGATTTTCCTTCATGGTGTATTTATCGATTTTCAAATACGCAAGATTAAATAGTTATATGCTATGGTCAATTTCCTATCTAAACTATAGATTGAGAGTAACATAACCCAGCCACATTATGTAACATACTGTAATTCTACAGATTTTATGATACTAACATGCATAATTTGTCATGGTAATTTAAATCTCAGAAATTTTAGGTTCATTTTGCTTTATATGAATGCTAGATAGCGGAATAAAAAAGAAATTAATCAAGTCTAAGCTTATACACGTATTGAGTTTATTTTTTATCACCATTACTTAAAGACTGCATCGTTATTACAGATTTAGCGTGTATAATTCTTCCTATTGAAGAGATTTATGAGACGTTTCCATAAACATATTAGCAAATTAAATAAGTTTAATGCAAATATTTGTGTATCATTAATTGCATAAACTTAATTCGTAGGATGTAAGGGGAAGAATCTATGGTAGCTACTGCGAGTGTGACAATTTTACTTGTCCACTAGGCAATAATCTATTATGTTCAGGTATTTATGAACAGATTTATTAACAAGTGGAAAATCTTAAGAATTCAATTTCCAGGATAAATTTACTGAATTAACTGATGTATTATTAAGCGGGCTAGATACATATATATATTATACTTTGTAAATAGTATAGTTTCACTACATATCGTGCATTAATTAACACTTTAATAATTTATAAACTAATAATGATTTAGGCAATGGAGCTTGTGATTGCGGTATCTGTCGATGTAATCCGGGATATACTGGTAGAACATGCAGCTGTCCATTATCTAGAGTTACTTGTATGGCCAGCAATGGAGTATGAATAAGATTATGATTAAAATTTCAGATTAAATCCTTAAAATTTAAACTCTTCCGTAATTTATTTAATAGTTAGAATGCAATGGCCGCGGTATCTGCGAATGCGGCTCATGCATTTGCAGCAGTTCATCTCAAGAAACTTATACTGGAAGAACATGTGAAGTTTGCACGGTTTGCAGAAGCAATTAAATATCTGAGTTTAAATTAAATACATTAGCGATGAGCAAGTTATTATATATTGTTTCTGATAAATGAAGATTTTCTATTGAGCCCTTGCTTATAGCACTATTGTGCTTAGAGCGCACTTTTGAAATTAATTACATCAGTATTAATTAGCTACCCTATGTAAAACAGACTTGTCCAGGAGAATGTGAAAAAACTGGAGAGTGTGTGGCCTGTAAAAGATTTAATCAGGGTTCCTACGATCAAGCAGCTTGTAATGCAAACTGCAATAGCATGACGATGACAGTTATTGATCAAATCCCAGCCGGTAAGTCTTAACTACTTCAGCTATTGGTAACATCTAAACCTTACTGTAAGATAAGGTTATAATTAATTCGTTAACTTGTATATCTTGCTCGTACTAGAATTATATTTGAAGATTGTCACATCTGATCTGGTTGTACCTGATATAGTCTTTCTTATTGATTACATAATCCTTTGCTGTTTTAATTCTCAGTGTCTATGGAATCCTAAGGTGCCATTAGCTCTTATATTTTTTCTTAATATAAATTAGATGCAGATACTTGTCAACGTGAATTAGCCAACCAGTGCAGAGTCCGATTTACAATCAATATTACGAGCGAAGGCCAGAAACTAGTCATGATAGAATCTCAACAAAGTATATGGAAATATTATTAATATATCGGAAGGCTTAATATATTATATAGTTTATTCGTTATGAACGATTGATACGCCCAGTAGATTAATATCAAATGATCTTATTGCTATATAGTTTGCCCAGAACCGCCTCCAATTGCTCCAATAATTGGCGGTGTAGTTGGAGGTGTAATTGGCTTAGGTGTCATTGCTGTTATTATCGTCAAGGTTGTATTCATGATTCAGGTAAATTTGTCGAGTTACTTTGCCACTGACTCTTCTACGTAGTAGTTTATCTAGCTGGTAGTAATTAAGTAAGTATTGTATTTTATTCATCCATATTATTTATATATTATCTACTATTCTATTTCTTTCAAAAAGGACTATCGCGAATTTCAGAAGTTTGAAAAAGAACGCAAAGCTGCTAATTGGATCAATGTAAGTTTGAATGTCTATGTATGGTCTTGAGAGTAATCAATTTTTTCGATATCAACGCATAAATCTGATTACTTTATTGCAAATTTCGTGCTAATTTCACACACGCATCTATAGGTTATGTAATAAATTTAATTAAGAACGTGTGTTAATATCGTAAATGAGCATGGAATTAATTTAATTTGTACTATATTTGTCTATTGTCCATCCATAGAGTGAAAGCCCAATTTATACTCAGGCAACGTCGAAATTCAAAAATCCTATCTACAGTGGTTAACTATAGGGCAATTTTAATACTTTACGTACACATATGATATATCACGCTAATAGACTACCTACAGTAAAAATGTTGCGGCTACCAGCGGTTGATTAAGCTATACAATGCAATGTTATTCTCTTGAACTAATTTTTGAAATTGCCTAGATTTTGTGATGAAGTAAATCTGAATGTTAGTTACTGATAATTTTTTATAGGATATCTAGAAAAGATAGAGGTGATAGAATACCGCTAAATGATTTTTTTAATTCATAAATTACTACAACGTATTAATATAGGAAATTAACCATTGTTTTAGAACCTCTAAATTATGTGATCACGTAAGTTAACTTCTATATACAGTATATAGGGCAGTAAATCGCTTGATTCTATACTGTAAAGATGAAATTATTAGCATCAGATCGAAATTTCAAGTTTTAGTTTTATGTATTCTGGGCACTGTTTCTGTCTTAATGTTCTATGGTCCATCCCGATCAGTTAACTGGATATCTTCATTAAAGTTCTCGAAAGTACCCATTAGCTTTATCCATCTTGAATTCAGTTTATCTAATAAATTGTAAGGTATTCATTTAACATCAGTATCTGAAGCTTGCTTTTCCAAATGTTGAGAGTAATAAGTAAAATGGATCCTAATTAATAAATATTGAAATAAAAAAATATTGCTGATTGAATAAACGCGTATGAAACTAATTAAATCGCTAAGAAAAATATTGTTAAAGTGCTCGATAAGAATACTATAAAACGTTGGTCTTGAAAATGAACTTTCATATAGGTTATATAGCTAAAAATTTTATTCATAAAGAATTAAAGGTAAATTTCGCATCTTTGGTAATACAATACAGCTAACTGTATCTTCGCAATTCGTTGCGAATTGATGATAAAGTCATAGAACTTCCAAATTATTTAATTCTTTAAATATGCTTTGACCTTTCAGTATCGTCGGCAAAGTAATAATGTTTGACATAGAAGATAGTAATTTCAAAATTTACATCTATAAAATTCCTATTGATTTTCATCCTGAATACACGTAAAGACATTTCCAATATCGCAGTAACAGCATAGTAGTTGTAAGATATTAAGTATGCGTTTGATAGCATTCAAATACATCCATTGGCTGATTCTGCATCGATTTAATTACTCAAATTTGATATTATAACTATTTGTAGTAAAATATCTAAGGATTATATTTCTTCTACGCTAATCAAATGATTTACATCCGGATCAATGCTTGGCTTATTTGCTACAGTTTACGTGCTGTATAATTAAGAACTAACTGGTGATGTTGAGAAATATGTATAAATATGCAGCAAGTCTCTTCCTATAGAATTGTTAATTAAGAAAAAGCAAGTCCTAATGTTATCAAAGCTAGTGTTGAACACTAATCCATATCATACGATATTTTAGAAAATTTGAGCTAAAACTATAATCTACAAGCGAAATAGATCTGTAGATCATCTCTTCAGCTGACTTCCATAACGCCTTTAGGTAAAAACCAATATAGCTCGCTATGAGGATGACTTTACTGATGGATTGGATGGATCTCTACCTTCTTTCAGTATTTTTAATGAAAAGTCAACTACAGGACAACCCTGAATTGTACTACTTAACGATATGACATCGACATTAGGAACGAAATAAGAATTGATTGTATCCACAGTAATACCACCACTTGCTTCTACTAATACATGAGGATAATGGACCTTCAGTGCTGCCGCAGAACGGTGTAAAGCATCGGGCTCAAAATTATCTAACATAATGATATCAGCACCAGCCTTGGCCGCTTGACAGCCTTCTTCTAAGCTGCGACATTCAACTTCAATCTTAGTAGAAAAACCACAAGCTTGGCGGGCTTTTTTGACAGCAGCTTCAATATTACCAACACTCCAAATATGATTATCCTTCAGCATTACCATAGAAGATAAGTTGAAACGATGGGTTGATATGCCGCCCACTAATAGCGAATATTTTTCAACTGTTCGAAAACCTGGCGTTGTCTTGCGAGTACCAGCAATTTCACCATGCCATTGAGCACTTTTAGCTAAATTATGCAAATAGCGAGCTCGTGTGGCTATACCACTTGCTCGACAAATACAATTGAGTGAAATCCTCTCTCCCATCAAGATTTTATTAACTGGGCCTTGCACTTGAGCTACTTGAGCAATCGGTTGTATAAGTGTCCCTTCCTCTACTTTCCATTGAATTTGGCAGCCCAACTTATCATAGATACCTTGGACAAATGGCTGACCAGCAATGACCCCTTCCGACTTGCACAGTAGTACAGCTGTTTCTACCTTTTCACCAACGACATAGCCACCATAATCAAAGTTGGGGATATCTTCTTGAATCCACTGATTCACGAGTGATTCTACGAGTACCTTTGATACTAAATTTTTGTAGTCCATAGTAGCCGGTCGATTTTTATTTTAGTTTTTAGTGCCTCAATTTCTCGTTCATTTTCCTCCGCCAATTATAGTACTGTACGGTATGTAACGATTGGAAAGTAATTTATGCAAAGTGGTTGGGGCTACTGTACAGTGTGCAGTACTGTAGAAACTATGGAGGCCGAGTATCCGATTTGAGGAAGTTTTATGCAGTTAAAGAGAATAGAAATCTCATTCCAAATTAACATCAAGATTTTACAACATTTCTATGGCTATTACTGAGAATTTCAGTGACAAGCCATCACTACTGCCACTCAGGTTTACAGTAATTGCCAGTATGGAATGCAGTAGTTTACCATATTAGGGACTTACAGTATGAAATAGACAGATACTGTACCCTAATTTATAGAACTCACTGTCAATCACAGTACTTTTCTGTACTGTACAGTGAACAGTACTGTAGAAACTATGGAGGCCGAGTATCCGATTTGAGGAAGTTTTATGCAGTTAAAGAGAATAGAAATCTCATTCCAAATTAACATCAAGATTTTAGAACATTTCTATGGCTATTACTGAGAACTTCAGTGACAAGCCATCACTACTGCCACTCAGGTTTACAGTAATTGCCAGTATGGAATGCAGTAGTTTACCATATTAGGGACTTACAGTATGAAATAGACAGATACTGTACCCTAATTTATAGAACTCACTGTCAATCACAGTACTTTGCTGTACTGTACAGTGAACAGTACCGTAAACTGATACCGTTTCAGATCTATGCGGATCAATCAATAGTCGTTCCTTAGTCATATGAAAATTTTCATTTTACTGTTTAATCGGCCAGCACTAGAGATTATGAGAGCCTCTAATAAAGTGCTCTGCACCGGATGTACAAACTCGCCACGCCTGACAACCTACAGTACGTATAATTTGGCGTACTGTACTGTATTCCAAGTTTTTACACACAACCGTACAGTACTGTACAGTACAGTACTATACAGTATGGTACTATGGACTGCAGTACTGTACTGTAGTTACCTACAGTGCTATACACTGTAGAGTATACTGTAGTATGACACTAGGCTAACGAAGAGACTGTCGGTTGTAAAGGCAGCGCACCAAGCCAAATTCCTCCTTCTCAACGTGGTGGCTTTGTAAGATAAACCAAGTCAAAATGGTAGGTAGCAATCTCATCACTATCGTAGACATCCGTATCCATTGAAGCCATTTTACCCTTTAAAAATAGGCACCATACATGTTAAAACTTTTATTTAGCAATTATTTTTTGAAATTATCAATGTGTAGTATTGAAATTGACTGATAAAATTTGACTTCTTTGCTCTTGGCTATCGGACGCCATTTGCAATGCCGTTCTCGGGCCGGTTGTACTATCTTCGTGTTAACCCAACTAGTTTTACTTACTACGTGGAAGATAATATATTATAACTAAGCTGATCAACTATGTATCTGTATGTATTTCCAATTTATCTGAACATTCAAATGAGCTTAGAAAGGTTGAATAGACTACGATGAACGTAATACGGATTCCAATCGATGTAATACTAGAAAGCTTCACGTTATATCCTTTCCTGAGATGTATTGGATTTTAAAAATGAAGTAGGATTAGTTTAGAGCATAATTAAATGCCCCATATAACTTTCAGAAAGATTACTAGAGATCAAAGATCCTTTGTGATGTGGATCATGGACAATTTCACATATTGCCCATGATATGTTGATGCAGTAGATAGAAATTTTCGCCCTGATTTAGCCTAAGTGGAATAAATGCTAGTCTTGTTAGACTCTTACTTGTTGCCGTTACTTTAACTAGAATATTGGTGATCACACTTTGGAGGTGAAATAACTTCATACATATATCATTCATCGTATATCGTTCTGTCAATTCAGGAACTTTATTGTGCATATATGCCATTAGTATTTGTACATCATATCGGTAGTATTAACCCTTTAATCCTAGACGACGGCAATTACTTTATAATTATAATAATCAATAATCACACTAACGCTTTTGTAACTGTTGCTACAGCTTAGATAACTCTTTATGTAGTTATGCTGTAGTATACCACAGTAGTGTAGCTATCCAAATTTTTTTGCTTTATGCCGTACAGTATTCAGTATTCCATCAGATACATTAGAATCGTATTAGTATTGTACGAATTACTTCTGTAGGGATGACTATCAATGTCTGATGTTTACGCGTATAATCGCTGGCAATAGTTTTAGATGGCCATAGTTACGATAATCGTTGTCAAGAACTTTGCGTTATTTAAAGCTGAGAATGAGCGCATCGAGTGTACTGCGCCCTACGTAAATGGATATGTGTGTGGATGTGTACTATGCTGTGCTGTATGTTAGACAGACATTAACCTATTCTTTTATGGTTACATGTTTGTGTAATTCCTATAGGCCAAGCGTACACGAAAAGTTGGTGTTGTAGGAAAGTACGGCACACGTTACGGTGCTTCATTAAGAAAAATGATAAAGAAAATTGAAATTTCTCAACATAAGCGCTATCCATGCAGTTTTTGTGGAAAGGTAAGCTTCATAACTTTGATTATTTAATTAATGAACTCAACTTTTTACATCTAGTGATATTACATTTGACCAATATATATTGAATACATTATATTTGGCTGTTTGTAATACAAATGTATCTCATACTTATAGTGCGTATTAGCACGAAGTAATGTTGGCATTTGGAATTGCCGAAAGTGTAATAAGTCAGTTGCTGGTGGTGCATACGTACCAAGGTAGGAACTATACTGTAAATTGTTGTATCTTTTTAAATTTCTTTTTGGGTTACTACGTGATATCAAGGCAGTAAAAGTGTGCTTAGAAATATTCTCTAAAAGTTGTTCCTTTCTTGAATGTAGCACCGTTGCCGCTGTAACAGCAAGAAGTACCATTCGTCGTCTTCGAGGATTACAAGAAATCTAGAGCAATACCTTTTCGAACAGGAAACATTTGTTTGCTTTTGAATATATGACTGCAAGACACTAATAAAGAAATAATTACGAAAAGACTTTAAATTAATGAAATTTTTTGATCTCTCATTGACTTGTTAACCCTCTCCTTTTACTACGGAGCTTTTAGATAGACTTTTAATATGCATTGTATCATTTTGTATGTGTAGGAACGATGTATACCAGTGTATTTACCTCACCATCATTACGATAGTATCAGCTACGTAGTAAATCTATGAAGTTCATCAATGATGAAATTTATTTTATTTGCAATACAGTAGTTTCAGCGCTACATTCAGTTTGGCAATTCAGTTTAAGAAACGCTATATTCACCATATAGGTTTTTAGGGTTTGCTAGTAATAATGACCGAGAATTTATACCATATTTACAAATTTTGATATCATACATGATCTAAGCAAAATCACTTCGCGTATAAAGTAGCTTCAGAGTAGAAATCATCCGGACCTTTATGAAAAACATTTCACGATCACGGTACCATAATGAGTATAATTCGTTTTAGGAAGCCAAAGCCATAAATGATAAATTGCAATGTAAAATGGGCATTAGTATCTTTATAGCTACAGTATGCTCAATCAATAATATAATAAATGTATCATGGATTACATAATAGTGGTTTTAAAAATATGCATCAGTGGCACATATACATAAACGCGTGCATTAAGATAGTATATTAAAAGTATTCCTCTTGTAACGGTTACTGTAACCTTTTCTTATAACCAACTCTCCCAAGACATTATTCCTGACTGACTTCCGAATGTTTAATAATTTCATATTCATCGTTACGTGTACTAATTTGAGTGCTGCCATTTTCACTGTTATTACCATAATTTGATACAGTCATATCACTAAGATTTGCAGTAGAAACACTACTAATCTCATTTTCAAAAGTAGAAAAGGATGAATTTAATAACGGTGAATTACTGGATTCATGAGCCCGTACGCCTAGCTGTTCCACAGATACATTAGATGGTTGTGCTGTAGTTACAGTAGTTGTAATTGGAAAAAGATTTTGAGATATAGCTGGTTGGTAACTATCGCAGATTTCTTGATCGTCTACAGGCTCCACTATTACGTAATCATTTATATCATTAGCAGAAGTGTGGTCACTTTCTTCCATTTGACCTTGTTCAGTATGATCTTGACTATTTTCGGGAACTTCTTTATGAGTTTCTAGCCTATGCACTTTGGCAGAATCTACACGGTCCAAGCCGGGTGGATAGAAATCTAATAATGAATCTGTTTCAGGATCTAATGCTTCCTTTGTTAGCCTCTCTCTGTCTTCGCGAGGTAAATCACTTTTAGAATCATCGCCGTTTGCATCTATAATTGGGTAAAACTCATGTAAAGAATCGATATCTGGATTTCCAATATCACTTTGTTGCGAAAGTTGGGGTGCAACTGGTGGATTGTCTACAATTTGTGAGTTTGAAATCTCTTCGCTTTCCGCTTCAATATCAGATTCTGAAATAAATAATACCATTAATATACCGAAATAAGATTGTGCCACTTCAGTACAATTCTAGTAGATTCATAGGTAATTGCTATATTTCAGTTATTACCTTTATTGACGCTATTTAGGCCTGAGGGCTCAAATTCACCAATTGAAACAAGACTACTGGCCATAACCTGATCATCTGTTTCTTTGCACAGTGCACTCGAATCTACCGCAAAGATTGACGTTTCACCGTCTTGACTAGCGTCAGGCTTACCTAAATTGTTAACCAAGAACAAGCAATTACTAAGCTATCATAATTAAGTAAATTAAATATGATTGTCATGATGGCCTGAGAACTTACTATATCTATCTATGAATTTAGGTAAGAAATCAACTAGTCGTTTCAATACTTGATGGTGGATGATATATGGTGTAAAAAATAGTGTTATACCTGCCATAGCAAAAGAAAATAATAAATCAATGCTTTAATTTCGGTCTCCAATTGAATTGTTTCAACTTGGTATGAAAAACTTACTAAGCACATAGCCTAATAGTAGTTTTCTCGTAATATGATAAAGTAAAGCGTATACCGTGCAGGTAGAGGCTATCAGGATACTCCAAAACTAGGTAGGAAAGAGACAAAAAGGCAATCAGATAGAATGATTAGCAGGATATTGTTTTTTTCTATAAGTTAACGTTTCCACTGCAACATCATGTTTACATAAGCTCAAATACCTATACGTAGCAACAATACCTGTAACGGTTGAACATTTCTGGATCGGACATAGGCAACTACAATTTCCTTGTAACGAATTGATAGTTGACTAACTTTGTCGATGTTAAATAACTGCTCTTCGGTCTCAAGTCTACAGGATAAGAAATACGCATTAAATTCAGAACAAAGAAATTAATTTTTAATGACTAAAAGTTCTACTCAATTATTCTTATATGCAGGCGACAACATTTCAATACCTCTAGTAATTATCGGGTAGTTAATATAAGGACATTTTAATCGTTTGTGTGCATAGCACAGTACTGTACAATACTCAAATGTGGTGATGTCGGGATACTTCCGATTCTATCACTTTTAGAGATTCAAATTGCTATAGTAAATGAAATCTGAAATGATTCATTAGCGAGATCACGATCTACCCTTGCATTAGTCAACGACACATTAATGTTCAATTGTATCAATCTTAATAAAACCGGCATTCAGATGGGGTGTAATACCGACAATATCCTGGACTAACAATGTTATCTTTGGTAATTAAAAATATGCTCTATTTAAGGCATTCTTTAGAACGCATTATTTGCGAGGATTAAAGAGATGAAGTTTTAACACGTAAATAAAAATAAGTATTTGTAGAAAGTAATTCTATTTGACGGCCATTCGATAAGTTCAACGATTAAAATTGCCTTATGATGAGTGACGTAATCAGAGATAATGTATTCATCAAGATTAAATAAACACCCAGTTCAACAGAATAATTTAGTTATCTGTACAATATTTCTGGTTACGAACACGCAAAAAGCACAACAAAAGTAAGGCATTTTTTAGATTACAACTTACCGAGATAAAACCTGATTGTAGAATTCTTTCCATCCTAGGAAGGAGGAAAAAGGTGTGATTAACATTTTCTATACGGACTATTCTTGCACGAGTGTAGCAGTGAATTAAAAGGGTTTCATTCCACCTCACTGACATTGCAGAATTCTACTTAACTACACTTCTACTTTGTGAGTAGTACAGTTGACAGTAAATGTCAACACAGTGGAAAACGCTAACACTCCTAACAAACTATCGCATCTTGAATCACAAAATGCTATTTGTAACATTATTGCATCTTCTGCTCGCTTTAATACATGACGATACTGTAAAATTCATTAAACAACTAGTATCTATGCATATATAAATATACATATAAAGTAATGGTATCACTCATCACTTGAGAAGTACTTTAGTCTTGTTCATGTTCTTTCAAATTGTAAGTTACAATATCATAACCGCACAGACAAGTAAGAAATTCTAATTATCAAGGGTGTGTAAAACTTTCATCGTCCTGTATTCAATCCTACCTAAATTCATTCGGTTAGTCATTTTCTGTTCAATTTGTGGCAAAGAAAGGGAAAGCGATGTCGTCGTTAGTGATATAATAAAAATTCGTTGTCCTATAGTATTACTGTACCTAACAGGAATAGTCAATAGGCATAGGATAAATAAAAATGATTAAACAAAACAAGCCATGAATCCGTGGCGTATCAATTTATAGCTTAGAATACATCCAATAGAGTAAACTAGCCTGATGCTATCAAGCAATAGCACTACATATCAACGAGTCCATATCAATGGATTTACTATTACAGCATGCATTTACCATAGGAAAACACTGTTAATGATGAGAAATACAGCCATGGAATGGCGAGCATTTTTCCATGTCAATACGTCTTGCAAGTATTGTATTTCAGGCTGAAATTGATGGAGATACTTGGACAAGCGTATCCATTCCTCTTCTACTGCTTCTTGAAGATCGTTTTCATCATCGGTGGGTAATGATGGATTGGATCCTACATGCGTTTCCATAGCCATCTTACAATATCTCACAGTGGTCTGCACTTTTTCTTGATTTGATAGTAGTTAATTTAGAAATCGCTTGTCCAAAAGTCTTTACAAATGTTTTTCTTTTGTCATGGAAAAAAATCTTGGTTGTCGCAAAACTTACTGGTGCATATTTATTTTACGGTACAGTACCGTACAATGACTGTCCATCGATGGCCTCGTTCGTGTCATTTGATTACGGTCCACTAAGTGATCGAGTACAGTACAGTGTACAGTACAGTACCATACTCAAGGCGAGCCTAGTGAACACTGAAGACTGTGGTGATCGTTTTGGTGCATTCTAATCCTGCTACAGTACTGTACAGTACTGTATGAATAGTTTTCAAATAATTAATTAGAAGCTTTATCGAGATTTTTAACATTAAGTTATTTATGTTCAACAATTTTGCCATAACATTCAACATTATACTACAGTATACTGTACTAGGGAATCAACAACGCTATTTGTGGTACAGTGTACAGTACTGCGCACTGTAGACAACGGTATGGTACTGTACTCTAGTGTACAGTCTGTACTGTACTGTACTGTACTGTACTGTACAATACAGTACAGTACTGTATGGGCAATGCCTTTGTGGTACAGTGTACAGTACTATACACTGTAGACTACGGTACGGTACAGTACAGTCCATTTCTGCTACAGTGTACCGTACTATACACTGTACTCGACAAGTGAAGTACTGTAATCAGTAGCATCATAACAAGAAATCAACATGTTTCATATAGTACTGTATAACATGCTGTAATGTACAGTACAGTACGTATATTGTCTATGTAGAAAAAAAATAAATAAACGAATTAATTATTTATTCTGGACGAAATTTACTGATTCGTTGAGATCTTGTTTTTACAAGCAGTCCCTGAAGCAACTGCCTCTTATGACGATTTGTGTAGCTCAAATTTGGCTACATATACGATGACTGTTTATAGCTCCTTGTACAATTTAAATTGCATGATGCATTTAATGTTTGAAAATTGGACAGTGCAACAATTTTTATTTTTATTATTCTTTTTTTTTCTTGATTATTTGGATTAAACATTTTACATTCCATTTCCAGATCTCCAGTGTAGTCGTAAATAGAAATGTATACTGTATAAATAATGTACCAATAAATTATTTAGAGTGAGTTACCTAGTAGGTATCAGGGATTACTAGTAATACATTATTGATAAGGGATCAGTGCACGATTACGCACTATACTAAATCAATGGATGATTTAGTGGATGATTTAGTAATCCATGGTGTTGTAGTGGATCACTTATACGAGTAGAACAAATGTAATTTATAATTTGCGGCACCTTATAGAATATGTAAATGAAGATAAAAGATGTCCCTCACTTTCTTATCAAAACTACTAGATGCAGGAAACAAAGGGGTACTTATGCATTGAGGAAAGCCTGGTAACGATAAAGTGAGAATGGCGTTTATGACTTTTCTAAGTTCTTATTTCACAGAACTGCTTAACCAAAAAGAGAAGACTACATCTAGACTGATCTAGTGTATTGTAATTCAAAGCTTCATCTGTCCTTGAATCTATATATCTTTTGGAATACAAATTCTCTTCGATACTGAGTCTTGGTACACCCACATTCCCTAAACTGATGAGTGAAACACTGTACTGTATTGGACTCAGTAAAGTAAACAAATAAGCGAAGCACTGTATGAAGAGCAGTGGCCGATTGGGTTCTACTCATACAGTATTTTATTTTTTTTTTTGATATCTCTATAGTTCTACAGTAGAGTTCTACCATAACTACACTACTAGAAAGAGAGAGAGGGACGATCAATAGTATGCACTTCCAAATAGAGAGGGGCTTGATCATTTATTTTCCTGCTCATTCTACTATACTGTGCACTACCACTAAAAGCAAGCAGCTAATTATTTTACACGACCATGGTGGACACTGGGCAGTATATAGTGATCATTTCAGACATACTGTTCACTTGAGATGATCAATAAAAATAGTTGGTCTCCACAAAATTTGGGATTCAACGAAGACGGACCCTGTTTGTTCTCTTACTTTCTTTGAGGTAGTCCGTCCGTGCTTCGGAAGGACTGATTCATATTGTCAATGTTGCAAGGTAACGGTACAGTGTACAGTACTGTAGTGTATTGGTACTCACTCTGGTAGTACAGTATACAGTACTGTATGCAGTAGCAGATGATCATTATAGCTCGGTTTGATACCATCAGAATCAACTCCTGTACTGTACTATCGCATTATTGATTTTGGCTTTTGCAATCGAGCGCTAACATTTTGCAACAGCAACGAGGTGGCCATTAAGAGAAGATGCTATCCAATATTGTACGCAAGCATCAAGCTAAACAAGCTGCTGCAAAGGAAGAGCAAGGTGCATTACTACTGTCTATTTGATATATTGTTATCCCAATACAATACAACTTCAATTTGGGCAATATCGAACTGGCATGTTGAGTAGAAAGGCAAAACCAATTGAACTAGATCAGGCTGCAGTTTTCTCTAGGATAAACCTTCGTACAACAGAGTACTAGCCGTGAATCCTGTCATTTCATCAGTTCATTCCGTTCAGAGAGTAAAATAATTCAAGGATCATTTCATCAATTCAATCTATCAGTAATATCATATCGTGTAGTAAGTGGACAAAGTGATGTATTCGTATGGATAATGACAATGAATTAAAAACAATATTAAATGGCAGGATGATATCCAATTCCATGAAATACCTCTTGCTACAAATATGTCTAAAATAATGAATTGACAGCCTATAAGATATATCACAACTAAAGAATAGTTTAGTGATGCACATGGGAAGAATTCATTTTAGCCTGGTAAACAATCGAACGAATAAAAAGTAATACACTTGTACGTACAATTCAAAACATAAATGACATAGTGAATTCCAGGAAACACCTCCAAGACTTGATGCATTTCTAAAAAGACAGTCTACAGAATATATCACGACTAAGGAATAGTTCAGTCAGGTACAAGGGAAGATTATCTTCTAAACTTTGAAATAGTGGAATATTTCGACGATATCTTATCGTACAATTCGAACTCAAGAATGCTAACCAATGAACATTCTACGAATATTTAATAAGCATCGTTGACATCGGCAGATTGCAATTCACCTAGTACCCATCCTATCTGTTTTCTCAACAGCAAACTGCACAGTACAGTATATGCTGATATGCCATTAAAACTGCCTATGTTATATACTGTATATCTGCAGTACAATAGTTAGCAGTCCAACTGTCATTTCCTAATTTTACAATTGCAAACCAAGGTAAGAGATTAAGTAATACGCTATCGTGTAAACTGATGAACAAGCATCAATCAATTACCTTCTTTAATAATATATTCAATCTACCTGCCATAATGGCACAGTTTCAAAGTTCAATGAAGTTGTTTAAACTATACTGTATACAAGTATATATTTGCTGTTAAATATATTTTTTATGACAGTTATTCCTAAGAACGTTTTCAACCTTAAAAATAGTCACGCTTAGTATGCTTGCTGTGTACAATATACAGTACTCGAACACGCGTACGTAGTAGTTGTAATATCGTTCACTCAGTATTCAAATACACAGCATGTATAACGTTTACGCCATTCTTAGCCAGATTACATCAGTCTGTTAGAGAATTTGCAGCAAATCGATAAGTCTAACTGCGTTTGATACCTGAAAATGTTCTTATAAATAATTAAATTAATTACTACGCTATATATTTTGACTTATCCGCACTCATCAAATCACAACTGATGTAAACTGGAATTGCATATCCCAATGAACTTGATTTAACTCTCGAAAATAAATTCACTTTCTATGGAACGCCGTCGTTTACATCTTTCCAAACTGTTACAAAAATTTCAATCTAATACCACGATACGAGTATGCTATAGTCTGCTAAGGACCCACAGTAGTTAGTACAGTTACGATTTTATAACCCTAGTGGATACAATTTTCTACAACCTTGACCTGTCTCAATTTGGTTAAAGTTGATTGATACAGATACTTATTTTACGATTTACAGAAAAGTTGAAAAAAGAAGCAATGGAATCTTGCGTAGCCTTTGGAAATGCCTTGGTAGATAAAATGAATACAGGGTATACACGCATATTCTCTCTTGTGTAATTAATTAATAATGATTTAGCGCTATTTCTTACTCCATGAGCAATCTGGAATCCTCTTTCTTTACTTTTTTGCAGCATAGACTTTGAATTTATTTTAAATATAGTAATTGTAATATTACTAAAATCTCGAATCTAACTATTTCCTGATGTATTAGTGTTGCGACAGCATACCAAAATCAAAAGAAACTGGATCAAGAATTGAAGCAGTTACAAATTCATACAGGTAAAATTGTTCCTTTCCTGTAAGTTGTTTCTGCTGCACCTTTCCAAGTCTAGTTTTTTTATACAAAGCCAGCTACTGCTACTACTATGACTTGAAATTACCTTTTATTTCAATATTTACGGAATAATTACAGTTCAGAAATATTATATAAACTACTTCGTAACTGCGAAATCTCTGAATTATTAATATCTTGAACATTATATTTTTATCGCTTACAGCTGAGTACAGTAAAGTTGCATCACAATGGATGGGACTGGTGGATGGCTTTAATCAATCCTTAAAGGTACTCGTATTTGCAATATTTATTGAATTCAGCATATCGTCCTTTCAACTGCCTACTGCTTTTATCACGGTATATCAATACTGCCTAATATCTGGCTTATTAGTATAAACCCATCTACATAATTTTCGTCCGATTATACCCCTATATTACACACTGCCGTTTCGTGTAAGAAAACACAATACAACTGCGGATATGCTACTATTATCGACTCCATCTTCAATTATTCTGATGGTTTCTCCATTGAAGCATCGCTAATAATGTTATGCTTACTTCACTAGGAAATTGGAGATGTAGAGAATTGGGCAAAAACCATCGAGAATGATATGCAAGTTGTTTGCAAATCACTAGAATTTGCGTATAAAGGTAGCAATGAACCCATAGACGTCCCATCAAGTTCCTAGTAGCTGGACCTAAGTGAAGAAGTTCACTACTAAGCCTAAACTTTCAAACTGCAATTGTACTATAAATGTAAATACAAAAATTTCTATCTAGTTGATAACTACATCTTATAGCAATAACATGGCAATTCTAAGTGAATGATTAATTAAAAAATCGCGTTGTTGCATTTCATTATCTTAAGCACCTACAACTATTTAGTAGTTCTATTTTATCTGTCGTCGAGATATAAGACTTGTAATGCCCATTAAGAATGGAATAAAATTAAAAAATAAACTATGAAATTGATTTAAGCTGATTTCTAACGCTGGATTTGCGGATGTTGGTCATTTATATACACTAGCAACTACACTATTAATTCAAATTTTATAACTTACAGTTCAGTAATACAATTCATAAAGAACTGAAACTCCTGTTAGTACAGTATGCTTTTAATGAATGACTGCTCAACTTTAAACTAACAAGTGCCATTAACGCGTATTAGTTCGTATTACCGATCAGGATGTTATATATTATTGAAATGAAAACCAGGGATTTGTTGATATAATGATGTCTAGTCAATTTACTAAAAGCATGCGTATTTTAAAACGGTTCAGCATAACCGATGAAGGGATCGCTGTACCGCAGATACTTGCATCATAGTCAGTTAAAGAGCTTTAGATTACTTAATCATACTTTGCTAAAGTCCTGAGTGCTAGCTACACCTGTCGATAGTTTTGTTATGAATATTGGAGTAAATACCAAAGAGATGAAAGTATTGCTGTTTCTTTTTATCTCTGGTATTTTAATACAGTTGAAAGTGTCTGAAAGAGGCACCACTTGCCTAGAAAGTTATCCATAATATGCTCGATTGCTCATGTTATTATTTTATCTCTCTGGTAGCTTAATACAGTTGAAAGTGTCTGAAAGAGGCATCACTTGCCTAGAAAGTTATCCATAATATGCTCGATTGCTCGTGCTATTATTTTATCTCTCTGGTAGCTTAATACCGTTGAAAGTGTCTTAAAGAGACATCACTGGCCTAGAAAGTTATCCATAATATGCTCGTATTACTATTTTATCTCTATGGTACTTTAATACAGTTGAAAGTGTCTGAAAGAGACATCACTTGCCTAGAAAGTTATCCATAATATGCTCGATTGCTCGTGTCATTACCAGTGCTTTCACATTCCGCTAAAGAAGTCTCTTGTATCTGCGAATATTGGCGATCGCATTGAAGTTTAACATCTTCAGCAAATTATAAGGATACTTGCAGAAACATATTTTATTTCCTATTCCAATAGAGCAACATTACTTTACATATCAAGATCGAATATTCGCTGATTGCGAACCCCTAACTCGTACATCCACACTCTAATGATATTGACTGTATAATAAATGGAATACTGTACTCGTATACTTGGTGCAGTACTCTATGCGTCTACTGAGTATTGACTGTGCAGAAACATGTTCTATTTTTTGTTCCAATCGAGAATATTGATTTACATATCTGGTAGAATGATGGACTACATACATGCTCAAATAATATGTTAATAAACTAACCTACAGCCCAATCGCTCGAAAGCGAAGGTCGATGATCTTACAATATACTATTTGACTGAATTTATACACCGCATTTACCTGGCCTGTCGTAAGCACCACAATTTATTGGCTGTAATGCCTATTTTTTGACGCTTACAAATACGTACAGTATATTGAGTACTTGCCGTGCAGAAACATGTTTTATTTTTTGTTCCAATCGAGAAACATTAATGTACATGTCCGGTACAAATCATGGACTACTGTCGTGATTTCAGCTAATTACAGTAGTTTTGCGTACAGCTATACACATATAGTACTCAAATGATATTTATAATCAATAAATATTGTAAATCAGATGTAGAACTACAGTATTAATTGAGTATTGATTGTGTAGATACATGTATTATTTTCTGTTGCGTTGAGAAAAACATTAATTAAAATGTCTACTTAGAACTCAATCGACAATAAGTCATTGAATATTGCACCGTGTAACTGATATACTGCTATACAGTATATTGAGCAGCCCACGGATTATAGTATGATGTCCTGGTATTGTACAGAAGAGCGAGAAAGGTTAAGCAAAAACCTTTAACCTTTCGAGTTTGTTTAATTAGATGAATGTAAACAACAACATAATAATTTCCACTCAACAAGGAACGACATACAGTACGGGCTTGTATGCAAAATCAAGATTTCAAAATGAGGTAAACTCTGAGTACACGATGCAGACAAAAAGGAAGTATAGTGTCGATACTACCATAAGCAGCCATTCTGTAGTAGTCCAAAAAGGCTTTTCAATTCAAATAAGCAAACTCTCGTACCATCGATGATGACAATAATTGCAGATTTTAGTAGTCTATCCGATTGCATCACACTTTTTAGGCTGCTTAAACAAGGCGGCCATTTCTAAAGTCCATCATGGTACCTAGCCGTATTGTACACTATTGAAATGTACAGTACCTGTAGGCGGTGTCAGCAAGATGGCCTCGGGGTTGCCTTGGTGAAAATCATGCTGATAAAAGTACAGCCCAACCTTAGCATACCTTAGCTTTATTTAAACCTTACTAGTATATAATACGAATTAATGATTGCATCTAGTTGCATCCGCCCTCGATGCAATCCTATTGTACGCCAGTCCGTAGATGTCAAAGTTCAAGGATCTGCTGACATTTTCCGACGGAAAAACCCCATGCAAACCTTTGCTACTCTAGTCAACGTAGTATAGTGTATAGAACAGCTTACAATGAGACAGTATTGACAGTGTTCAATCATGATAAGTAGGATATTATATAAATCGTCAACATTGCCATAATCGTTCCTTTTCTCATCAAGCTCTCGCAATTAACGCATCAAACAAAGTCCAAGCTGCACGCATAACTTGCACCAATTCTCCACTCAATTTTTCAACATGCAATCTTTCCAAGGATTTCCATCCCCTTTTGTCACTTTTTACTCCAAAAGACCAATCAATGATTACGACCTTGGTGTAGATACTTCAAAATATGAAGAAGGCGAAAAAGAATTACGTATCAAACTAGCATGTTTATATCGGGTTGTCGCTTTAATGGGCTGGAATGATAGCATCTTCAATCATATTAGTGCTCGTGTATCGCAAGATAAAGATCATTTCTTGATTAATCCTTTCGGTTTGCTTTTCGATGAAATGACTGCTTCTTGCTTTATCAAAGTAGATGAACATGGTAATGTCATTGATCCTGGCTCTACTCACTTTAACATTAATATGGCTGGCTATGTTATCCACTCAGCAATCCATATGGGAAGAAAGGACGTTGTTTGTGCTATCCATTTACATACTTCCAAAGCTACTGCAATTGGATCCACCAAAACCGGTTATTTACCACTGACGCAGGATTCATTGATACCTGGACCAATTGGTTATCATGATTATCAGGGCATTGCTGTCGATGAAAATGAAAGAAAAAGTATCGTTGAAGATATTGGTGATAAAAATGTATTACTCTTGAGAAATCATGGTTTCTTAGCGGCCGGTAAAAGTGTAGAAGAAGCTTTCTCTGGAGCTTACTTTTTCATGTCTGCTTGTGAAATGCAATATAGTGCTATGTCTGCCGGCAAGGAAGATTTAATTTTATTACCTACTGCTATTCTTCAAAAAATACAACGTATCGTCAAAGACAACACTACCAACAAAGACCCTGCAGACCAACGTGTTGAGTTGGTTTTTTTTGAAGCTTTTGTCCGAAGATTGGATGAAATGGTAATGATAATTGAAGTAAAGTTAATATGATAACATGAGCAAAGTTGAGCATTGTCTTCTCCATTGTATCAATACTAATACTGTACTAGTTCTAGAAAACTCTTGAAATTGACATTTATCAAAGTATGAATATTGCCTAATGTAGTATTATGTCATATAGGGTTTAAAACCTGGCTACGATTACGCGAACAAAAACCCATTCAAATACATTCAAAACGGAAGTAAGTGCTACTTATTGATAACATAAAGCTGCCCTAAATAATCGTGGTTTGATTACTTTCTTAGATGCCTAAGCATAAATGCTGTGAAATTGACGTCGAAGCAGGCTAACAAAAAGGTAGCAGACTTTCAAATAGTCTTACGTAATAGCTTAATCGATTGAGGAAAATGAATCTTTTTCAACGATAGGTTCAATTCTCATCTATATATGATTAAATTTGATGCTTTATTATGCTTATCACCAGTCTACGTATATACTGTAGTAGTTGTTGTTGGCATACAGAATTTATCATTACTACTTTTCATTGGAACTATTCCAGTCTTTTTTGTTTGCTCTACTAAGCATACGGAGCAGTATAAAGAAGTACTCGTTAGCGACTTAGGAATTTTACTAAACTCTTGGCAATACTGTCTTGAAGATTACATATTATCGTATTGTGGATACAATCTATATTATTATTCTGTATTGTAGATTATATCACCAAATAAAATTCATATTATGAACAGTAATAAACATCGTCTAGAAAATGTTACATTAGTAGTTTTTATTGATTTAATAACAGATCCAAAGCTAACATTACAATACCATTCACCAAAAACACAAATATAATAAAGATTTATCTTTGTATTCTCTAATGTTAATTAATTTCTATCTTTGCACTGACTCACACACCAATTTATATTCTGTTTAATCTAAGTAGGACATATCTATCCTTTGGAACGATATCACATCTGCAAAATTGAATATAGCCTTTCTTCTCTGGAGAACTGTATTTTCAAATATTCGTATACTTGTATAGTGATACATACGGTAACCTACTCGTATATAGAAATTGTTGGGTGATAATGGCAATCGGTATATTTAAAAGATGTACTCTTTTAAACCAGTTTCTTGATGTTAGCAATGACACATTAGTAAAAGCGAAAGTTTTTACTTTCGACTGTGTAAAACAAGTACTGAGAAATATATGTTAGCTACTATTAGTAATATCATTTTCAGTTAATAATTTTGATGAGTGTTATTGTGAAAGCTATTAAAATAAAGCTGGAAATAACTGTCTAATTGCATTATGGAAGCTCTTAATGAATTTAAAACTTCATTTAATCATTCGTACCATTAATGCTGATCATGCTAATATTACACCATGACCAATGGCGATCATAATTATTGCAACCGTCCAAGTCTAACCACATGACAAGTAGTCCAATTACAACTATTCCAATTCCAATGGCGATAATAATCACAGAAAGTACCTTTTCAACAGAAAAGTTTGATTTTGTGGAGAGTTTGATAAAGCAAGCTGGAGGGAAAAGAAATACTGAAATAGAAAGCAATAATGGGATTATATTTTGTTAATGTGATAGTGGTACGTGTAGCCATAATTTTAATATATAGTTGAAGAATCCATACAAGTATCCACTGTCTCCACCTAAATGATCTACACTCAACAGACGTTAGCTCAGGAAGTAACTCATGCAATGAATCGTGATTAGTTATTGTGGCACGACAATCCTAATTCAATCAAATACATAAACTCCGATAATCTTAAAAGTGATTTAGCTCACCTTTAGTGTACTTTAGTGAGATATTAAAATTGATCAAAGTACACGTATATATTAACGTAGTATACTCTAGTATTTGCTGTATTTACTCGCATAAGTAGTGCAAATTACTTAGAACTTCGCTTCAAACCCTATCCATAACCACCATCCTACCCCCAATTATTATGATAAGGACATAAACAAGTTTTGGCGAAATATGATATCAGTCTATAGTAAATCAATCTATCCACTTCGATCGTCTATAGAAAGGTACAATAAAGCATGTGCACTAAACGAGCTAAATATCATGGTAATCTAAGGTAGGCTATTCAATCCATCGACATATGGATCATCCCACACAATAAAATAGGTACACTAGGGAGAGTTAAAGGATCTTAATCTACAAGTACACTTCAAATGTGGTTATTACTCGCATGCGTAGCTGTTAGCTCTTTCCCAACGCCTGAGCAATATATTGTTCATAGAAATGCAATAGCAATTTACTTAACTTTGCAAAGTCAAACCTATAGGCTCGCAATGGAAGTAACATTGTCTGTGTTTACTATATATAATTTAGGTTTATCAAGACTAAATCATAGTGTAAAGGTATTATTTAGATCTTCGCTTCAGTAGTTGATTATAATATTACCTAAAGGTGTTGCAGCAATGATTCCCTATTAAGAAATACAGCAATTTATCGTTAGAAAAATTTTATATCTTGCGATAGATTAATACTCAAATACATCATTTTTGAGCTTACATTTAGCTCAAGAACAAATCCAAGACACCTGGTAATCAAAGGTACCGGTAGAGTACCTAAAATAATTAATGCTGTAATAATGCAGTGCCTCCAAATAGAATCTCTTGCATTGCTAAAGAAAGCAATCTGTATAATCTATAAATGTAAAATTCAACAGTCGATAATGGTCAAGGCCTTCAAGATGGTGCAAATTATCTATAGACGTCAATATTCATATCATTAATTCTCTCTCTAACTCTGAAAATTTGATAGATTCTAAGATTACCTTTAGAAAATCCGATTTTAAAGCAATAGTGAATTAGAACTTGCTAACTAATTTAAAATATCCTATAGATTCCATTGCCATATCCACTCTCAATATTACTCTATTGAAGTGACAAGTACTTACGTTTCTACATACGAAACATTCTATTGGATAAGTTAACATCATAGAGATAGCATAACAACATCGGCTCACAATGATGAGAATATCATCATCACAATAATTCTCCAAAATATCCGCTAGAAAATGAGACAAAAACCATAATTTTGTGAAATTGGTGACGGCTAAAATGCTATAAAATCTTTTAAAAATATTAGAGCATTCAGCCTATATATTTGTTCTCTTAAATGTCTTGTTAAACTTGGTTATAGCTAGCTCAATTCTAGGCTGCATACAGGTAGATACCTATGGATTACCATAAATGTTATAAAATTGACAATTATTCATAAAGTTAGAAATAGTAAGGGTTATTTAGTTTGTATTAGCTTGTATATATTGACAATAACCCTTAGCTTAGTGTACCTTGAGTGTTTCCTGTGAATGTAATATAACCAACCATGCCAAGAAGAAGCATAAATACCAGTGCTGTTGAGATGGAAACATGCGATATTGCATTAAATCTGTCCATGCTATTACTTTTCAAAGAGTTGTAAATTAGGAATGTGTTGTGATGCCAAACAAAACCTAAATTGAAGATATTACAATAAATCACAAGCCTTGAGTTCATCGATGCAATTCTAAATGGAATTGAACAACACGTAATGATAACTCATGTTTTAGTAACAGCATCTTAAATTGTACTAGCCATGGCTTTGCTTTAATTATATCCTAAGCCTAATATTATGCCATACCAAATGCAGTAATTCCAATAGCCTGCGGAATATTGAGAGTAGCAAACTGCCAAGCGTGAGGAGTTTCTGGGCTATCAAACCAAGGCATAGTATAACAATTATGATGGGATAGCTAGATAGACTAGATAGCAATAAAGTTCTACTTACATTAGCGGTTTCAATGTCGACATACGGATAAGAACTGCCAGCACTAAGACGGCTAAACATATTAAGGAAATCATCGATACCTAGATAATCAAGGGCGGCTATATAAAATACTTGCTCTATTTTTTAGTATTTGATATACTTTAATTGCTTATTAAATAAGCTAATAGAATGAAAACAGTTGCAAGTAAAGCAACATGCCAAGAAGATCGAAATAATTATTGCTAATGGATGATTACTTCTTCTCCATTCACGTAGCATTAGAATTTATGCTTACCACTCCTAAGTCTTTCAAGCGTTTAAAAAAACACAGTGGTGCAATAATCAACATCGCCATGCTAATAATAAAGCGTCTATCTTGTAGGACAACGGTTCCATCATCTTGAATTGATATAGTCAGTTATTAAAGTGGTTGTTGTGGAAAAATATCAGAATGCTAAATTAGAAAATGATAAAAGCTGAGCGTAATCCTCACCTAAATGATGAAATGATCTGGTAAATGAGTCTCCAATGACCACAAGGTATCCCATCATGGCTAATAGCATTATTAGAATATTTTCATATATAAAATACAATTAGTTATCCATTTTACGTCCATTAACCACTATAAACTGGTCAAGTCCTGCTCTACATTAAATATTAATTAGTCTCCGAACTTTAAAGCATTTCCATCGTAGGTTAAACGATTTTATCGACTAACCAAGAAAAGGGAATAAAAACTGGCAGACTAGTGCAAGATAATAACCCATATTACCAAAGGCAGCCCTGGCAAGATTCTGTGTTTCATTTTAAAACAAAGTAAATGCATCAGCTATTTTTATAAAGCAAAAGATTGATTCAGCACAGTAATGTCCGTTAAAATGGCATAGGCTATTGGCTACCTTGATTGCAAATGCCATTAATAAAAATACCTCAAGCAATGGCAACACTTATGCTCATGCAATATTTATTAACCTCTAACATTTTTATCATCTATCAGCAACTACCCGTCTAGTATTATCTGCAATATTTCACTATGTTTCTGTATTCTGCTTGTTACTTTTTTTCTATTTTATAAAATATTCCTCGCATAATTTTATAATTGCATTTTGAGAAGGCTAGATCAGCAATATATCCAAGTCATGAAATAGGCGACAAGAATAAGTATGTAAGGCGTGATATCGCTGACAAATTGTATTTTTAAATTTCCTCGATTTCATACAAAGTTATCTGTTCAAATGTAGTTTTAGCCTCCATAGAATATGGATAATTAAAAATTCGGAATAAAGACATAGTACGCATTGGAAATAATGTCCGTAATTATGGTGTAAAGAAGCAATGATAAAGACTGGAATAAAATGATGATTAATTGGCTCCTTGATGAGTCAATATTTTTCAATAAACACTCTGAAGCAAATAGAAATGTAAATAGACTCCTTATGCTGTATAAATGATCAAGCTATTTCAAATAAGCCAAAAAGGATCTTCTATCTCACCTGGTAAGAGCTCTGACTGGCTAATCTGCCGGACTTGATCAATAATAATGCTGTAAAATCTGCAATCAATTAAAAATCGATTTCAACATGACCGACAAGAAACTTTTAACTTCCTATTTGTTAGTGCATCCGCCATATATATACATTATACAGTAGTTGGATAAAGCATGTCTTAGTTATACCTAGCTATCACTATAGTAGTAAAGCAAACTTCTAAAAGCTAAGCTAATAATGTGGTTATAAATGATAATTAATGTGAAAGTATCAGCATTTTCACAAAATATTCATAAAGAAGAAAATTTTAAAACATCGATGGTCATCTATGATCCTCTATCATTAAAGCGTCTATAATGATGTTGTAAAAACTCCATTATATTCTGCATATAGTATACCAAAAATTCTTGGTTAATGCAAAGGCATTAGTATCAAAACACAACATTTATAAAGAAGGAAATTTCTATAACATCGCTGATCATCTATAATCAGTGCGTCTATGGTGATTGTTGCAAATACTTCATTATATTCTACGTTTGCTAAGAAATACTTGATTAATGCGGAGGCATTAGCATCACAACACCATATTGATAAAGAAGGAAATTCTAAAATATCTAAAAATAGCCTAGCTGGTAATTTTCATAGAAGCAACTGTGGTGATGGAAGGATAAAATAGACATTACCTGATATAGCTGCGACAAGCAGGAGAATAATTAAGCCCATAACAAATCCTGCTTGCTTTAAAGCATAGGGTATTCCTGTGATTGGCGATATAGATAAAAAAAATTGGTTAGGTTCTATACTATCTGCATAGATTAGCATATCAAATAGTAAAAATATCAATTACCCAAGATGCCCGTAGCTAAGATAGTATTCATAATGTTAAACGAGGATAAAGCAATGCCAGATTTATCATTTTCCTTATGATTGTCTATCTACATAGTAAATTATTTCATCTTATTCATAATAACTTGAAAGTACTATTCTTTTGCGACCAATAAATTAGATATTTTCACCCGTTTTTCTTGATGAATCGTACCTTTAAAAGCAAACTATGATCATCATAGTTGCCATCCTAAAATAAAAACCCAAGTTTGTTAAATAACAATCACGAATGTAATGGATCAATTGGCTGTATTTGCACATCGTAAATACAAGTGTACTGTTTCTGATATTGGGTAAAAGAATGTTCTCACTTCAATTTACTTTATAAAAAGAAATCTGAAAGAATTCCACAACAATAATTTTGTGAACAAAGTGTTTCATTCGTTTCAAATTAAAAAAAGTTTCAACTTCTAATTTATTCACCTAGTTTCAAATAGATATTTTCAATCCTCTATTTGATACCTAAAACTATTGCAAATACTAACAGAATTACTGTACTTTGCTTGCGACAACAGATTATTCTATCTACAATTCCTCTCATACAGTTTTAACTGCCGTAATTCTAAACAGAAATGACCTAAACCATATTTTTTCTTCATTTCTCAAGTATATCCTAAGACTTATGTACTTGCACGAGTAGATTATTTAACAAAATCTTTTCTCAAATACCTTAAAGTAGTTCTATAGAGATGAACTAAATCATATGTAGCTCATTTCTCGAGTACATCCTAGGTATTATGTATTTACAAGAATGGGTGGCTCTACTCTCGTAAATTGTTTCATAAAATCTACTATTCAGCTTTACTCCATTCAGAATCTACCACAATATGGCGTAAAGGTACCTCAGGTCATCAACTAAAAACCCCTACAATTATCACTTACACCAGCATCATTAATAGGAATGCTTTTCATTTCCATTATTTCACTTGCATCAACTATATTTTGATATCCTTGGATTGAACTTGTGTCTGAACTACTTCTTCTCCTATAAATATCATCCATGCTAACATGCTCTTCTGATTCGACATGATAGAATAGTCTAGTCGATTCCTGACTTGAACTAGTTTTATTATCCACCGCTTGGTAACCATCGATAAATTTTTTCATCCTTTTGACTTACTAAACTCGATTTTCACAAGGGCTGAAAATAGAAAATTTTTACAGTCAGCGAAGAACGATTCAATAATTAATCAACGTATGGAAAGCAATAGAAGAGTTTTTCATCTCATTAAGGGACTGTGAGCAACTTTCCAAAAATTCAAATGAATCCATTTTTGAGAGCTTATGGCAATTATATTTATCTATTACTATTTAATTACTCGTATAACTGCAGTTTCATGGTCAATAGTAAGGAAAATTAATCTTCAAAACTAAAATATTTTATATTCTCAAATTTATCAGCTTATAACTTGACTATGAATCGTATTTTATTCTACTATTTTAAATAAGAACTTCACGTTCGGCTACTAATTTAATACAGTAGCAGTTTTAAGTGAATGGACACTTGTCCATCTTGAGCAACATAGGGCATACAAGGAATAATTATGACAAATTACAGTGAATGTCAAAATGAAGTGAATCTTTGAAACCTGAGATAAATTCTTTGCGATCGGAATAATTTCAATCCTTCCCGGTAGTTAATTACCAAAATGATTAATCTGGCCAGGACTCTTTTCTCAGTATAAATAAAGAGCATTATAGTACATTATTATGCCTATAGTTACATTGTTATTGGATGTTAGTAAAACTAGCCCATAAGCTGCTGTTAAGAGTATCTCCATGGCTGTACTTGTCTATTTGCTTACAAGTAAAGATAAAACAGCCATCACCTCATTCGTATTCATCATACTCCCACTATTTATTTATTCAATATACCCACTCTTTTATTGAATTTTTAACGCGATATTTCTAAAGCAATCAACACCGTTAGGCAAACATTGATTTATGTTTAAGCAAAGAAGGAAAAATATCAAATGTTAATGATATCTATCGTCATATATTCAGTAAACACCATGATTGCTATTTTAATAACTACAGACTTGGATATAGTTTAACTTGGCAGGAAGACCGACATTAATTCATTTCTGTTTGCTTACAGCTAGTAAACGAAGAAAAGCTCTTAAATAGTTCTAGAAATTAATTACAGGTTTCTAGGCAATAAATGATGTATCCATTAGCGCTTTCATCATTCAGTATCATTCATAGTCTAAAAACTAACCCTAATTATTACTAATTTGTATCTCTATAACCTTATGATAGATACCTGAGTTAAAATCTTCTCACTTTCATTATTTAACATACTCGTATATACGAGTATATAATAATCAACAGCCTAACAATTAAGTCGATCCACTACGCTGGTCTACTACCTCCTTAATCATGGGTATACCTTTAAAGAAAATGAAGGAAATATGTGATTAAATCTATTCGTACCTTTATCATCTAGCATTACTAGCTGACTACAATATTCAATCTATCTATTGTACAAATCGAGTAGGCGTGCAGCTTAGCAATCAAATTGAAGCCTATTTATTGCGCTGATCGAGTATCTACCTGGCCGCAGCAGTAAAATTAAACCTCTCCATTATTCTGACTTCAATCAAGTATTTATTCATGTTTTAGCCCTATAGTATTCTAGATTTAATACTCAATCACTGAACCAGTTCGCTACGATATATTTGCATGAAAAATAGAGATTGCGTAATATCGCTAACATCTCAAAGCAAGATTCGTCTCTATGACGAAGTTTTAGTATTTCCAGAACTTTACTAGGAATTAAGGTCAATCTGTATTATCTGTATGAACAGATATGCCTCGGCTATAAGTGTTGCTTTCATCTGATTTTTAACCTGGATATAACATACATTACAAGTCTATTACAAGGGTAAAACTAATACTCACCTGGATTCATAATGAAAACAGTCTAAGGTGTCCCCTATAGACTAGATTATCTTTTAAAGATCGATTAAAAGCTAGACCCAATTTTAACAACCTTCATGGATTATAAACTTTAAGATTAATACTACTCGCTTAACTTTTTAAAAGCGAGCAATGTATCGCAATCAATCCCTGAATTGTATTATAAAATAGATAAAATAACTAATTATGTTGACTAAGGCAAAATATCATAATTGACACCTCATTGGACGCCCTAATTATACCAATCTTTGCTTTATCAAGGTATTACAGAAACTATTGAAAGGGATACCACATGATCTTTGATCAAGTATCATTAATAATTTAATCGTTAACTAAAAGTCTGCGATTGAGTCAAAATTTTCCTCCTAGACTCTTTCAACTCAAAAGTTGTATCTTGCTAATATTACAATATTTCTTGATATGATAATTGATTTATGAAGGAAATTAAAGCATTAATAAACAATCAAAAAATCATCTTCTTGCTGGAATAGCAATTATTTAGGTTTGATTCGAGTACTTACATTTTTAGTGGCACCTTTAGAGCGCTAAGAACTCCATGTTCTAGGACCCTAATGCAAATAAAATTGTGAAATTATCACTTGTTAAACTCTTTATAATCGCTAAAGAAATAATTCGGGGTTTTTTGAAAAGATTATTACATCATAGTTTGCTGAAATTATATATTATTCTGATCTTAGATAGGTATTTACCATATTCATTAGAGAGAGCCCTAATGTATATACTCTAGTATGGACGCAATTATCATTTATGAAAGTCCTTATAATAGCATATGGTGCAATTCGATGTTACTACAAGGGCTATTAGCCTACAGTTTGCTGTAATGGATATTATAAAGAAAAATTATTAGGCCACAATTTGCGGTAGCTACATGCTTTTCTTTTTTTGGACGAGATACTTCATAAACCGTCGTATTGCAATTTTTTTTTACAAAATTTTTATTTATTGTACTTGAGCCTGGTTGTTGCACATATTATAGCTATAATTATAAACATTGTATTGATTTCAATCCTCATCCTGTTCCTATAAATCGACACAAGATGGAATAGGCCTAGCCTATTCCATTCTTAGCTAGCTAATGTTATGGAGTACAAGTGATTACAATCTGCAATGTTTCTCCGCCAACCAACAGAATCAATCTCTATTTGCTCTCCCAAAATCAGCTCTTTACGCTATCCAAATAATTCAACTGGTATTCAAAAACTGATACTATCGTATTATGTCTTTCTTAAAGGTGGAAATATTTACTATAATTATAAATTAGCAAGTTTATTTTTGACTGATTCTACTAAACTATACGTCCTCTAGTTTTGTTTTTTCATCACTTTAGTAAATAAACGCTAGGTTTTGTTAAGGTATCTAACATGTTTTCTACTTCTAATAAGATAGAAAGCTCACATACACGATTAAGATGCTAATATGCAGTAAAATATCAGCAGAAGTATATTTAGAATTGTTGGTTTCAAATGCATACAATTTTATTTTATTTTCATTCACGAATCTTAAAGGTTGTTAAAATAATCAAACACAAAACCGATAGACGAGCATACAAATTGATTCATCAACCCTATATCGACGAACTTTTAGTTCACTTTCTAAGATTTTGATATAATTTTAAATAACAATCCTTAAAGACATAAATTTTATAGCAGAACTCCCTGTAGTTAAGGTTATCCTTCTTCAACAAAGGAAAAATTAGTCTCTATCCCATTCGGAATAAACAAATAAGCATCATCGAAATGATGTATATACGGATCCAAGCAGATTTTGCAATTTTAATTCAATTTACGATTTTATCTTTTTTTTCTTTGAATCAATTAGTTCCATATTACATCATAATTTATCTTTTCTTATTCATTAGGGGAAATATATTACATGCTTATTGATATGTCCAATAAATTTTAACAAAATTTTAAATAGGTTTGGCAGAATTGTCAAAATCAGCCTGAAATTTCGAGTCGAAGTAATCACAAGAGAAAATAAGACTGAAATATGAAAATTCTAGAATAAATATTGAAGGTATTGAAACAATCTTCCTATGATTATCAAGTTTGATTTTCAGATAGTTATATCAAAAGGGCGTCAAAAAATTAAATTTTCGTGCTTATTGCTATTAGGCAATGTCCCTCCTATCCAAAATAATTAGTCACTTTGCTATTACTTTAATGTATTATTCAGTATCGTGATATAGCTGTCATTAGAAAACATAGTTTCATTGCACCATGGATTTAATACATGATGGCCACATCCTTTAGCTCCAATAATGGCGTAAATTGTACCCAAGAAAGATGCAAAGGTTCCTAAGACTACAATAAATCCAGCAGCTAACTTTGATGGCGATATCAGAGAACCTTTCGCTATTTTCAGATAGCAAGCGGCTGGAAAAATGAAACCTAAATATAAAGCACAAGAACAATTTAACCACAATTTTAAACAACATTCTTTCAAATCATCCATTCATTCCTTTTACCTATTGGAGCTGCTGTTAGACTTCCCTAAGTTATACAATAATAATAAACATGAGGTAAATAAACGGAATTTAGTAATGTTATTTTGGGTAATACTATCAAACTCACGACAAGTCCTATTTTGAGATTAATCGATTTTATATTGCAAAAATTATAAGTTCAAAGTTAATACTAATGTATATGATTAGGATATTGAAAGAATTACATTCAATTCCAAAACTGTCCCTAAGCAACTGGTAATGAGTGGTACAGGTAAACTTCCCAAAATGACGCAGGTTGTGATTACTACCCGACGTAGAGTAGACTTTGGTCTGTCTGGGAATAAAGCTTGATCAGCAGTCTAAATTAAGTAGTAAGGACAGAAATAAAGATTAGGACAAATTGCTAGCAAGCTTTGTTACGGAGATGTCTTCAATTTCAACATACTTCTCGACAAGCGAAGCAATCGAGAGGATAAATAGTCATCACAGAAATTCCATAGCAAATTCGAGCCACATTAACGAGCACATCATGAACGCAGTAGTTTTGCAGAATATCGGCTAGTAGGAAATAGATATGATTAGAAAGGATTTATTGTCGATAATATCGCTAGTTTCTATAACTGAGCAGTTATAACAGTCATAATGCTTCGCTATAATCATACTATACTTATGAAATTATAAGAAAATTTCATGTAATATACATTTTGACATGTTTGTAGCCATTAAAAATCAATGTGCAACATCTTATCTAGCATATGGATTCTATTTAGTATATTTAGCTACCATTATTACTGTATAGTTAATTGGATGGGAAGCTAAAGTTACACTAGGCATCCAATTTTAGTTAAAGATGCGGATCAAAATGTCAGATTTATTCGACTTTTAATCGGCTATTGATCTATAACAAAAATATCGCTACTGAGATGAAAAATTGAGCGAATCTATGCTGCTAATTCTAAAAAATGAATCGTAGTTACAATTTGTTCATACTTGCAAAACAATCTAGTTTTACAAATCCTGCTTAGCCGTGCTACTAAAACTACGTTAAAGAGTGAAAGCGCAAGAAAACATTGTAGCACATGATCGCTACAGAAACTATTATAGTTGAACAGAATATAGGTATTAAGATGGTCATGATACTAGTTCACTTTATTACCTTGAGTTGCATCTAAAAACGTTAAATAGCCTGCGATGCCCAAGACTAAGCAGAGCAGGTAAGAAATTCCAACAGCGGTATGACATGCCCTAGAAATTCTCTCTTCACTTTTTTTTTTCATGAAGCGATACACAATGAAAATATTGTAGTGGCAAACGAATGCTGTAGGATTAAAATCGAGAAAATTGAGGACGAAGTTGCATTGCCCCATGTTTTAAAGAGTTCCACGTATTCAAATTTTTGATATAACTTCAAATGATAGTTAACATAATTGATCCTGCTGTCTTACTAAATTGCATGATGGCTAAGGCCTAAAATATACAATATCAATATGTTACCACATCATCAGTGAACGGATTCTAATCATTATTTCGCTCAATTTGATTCTCCAGAAATGATATTCCGCTTTAAAACGATTACATATTCCATTAGTCTCCTACCTGGGGTACTTTTGGCGCAGCAAACTGTATGGATTGACTTTCAAGATACCTATAAACACATAGAACGATAATATAAAATGAAAATTCAAATCGAATCTCTTATCTATATTGGAACATCTTTAGAAAAATGGTTTCTCCTACATGTATGTTTCCAACGTTGCTACTCGTATGACAGCCACAATAACCAATATTACAACACAAATAAAGGATAAGCAGGACGTCTAAAAATAAATATAGTCAATAAAATAAAATTCATTCTTCACCGAAACCTAGCGCAAAATCACAAACTAAAGTATAGCTTCACTCTATTATTAACTAATTTTACCCATCCAAGTTTAGATATTTTTTTCATGTAGCATAATGGCCCCATAATGAGTAACATTGCAGCAGAAATAACAAACTGCCGATTTGTTAGTAAATTTCCATCGTCTCCTAATAAATAGCAAATGAACCATACTTAACTTATAGTAAGATTCTATCATCGTGCAATGATTATTCAAAGTCAAAATTTATGACGATATTTGAAGTATTATATATTAAGGCAATTTGATCGTGGCATAATGATTCAATTCTAATGTTTAAAATGGGTACTGGAAGTGTTGTAATACTTGAAATTGTTTATAAGTCATCCTTAAAAATACAGCATAAAATTTAGACTGGTATTACTTATCGCCTTACTAATTATGAATGAGGCTGATAACTCTGTAAAGTATTGATTAGCATCTTGCTACTTCCATATAGGTTGGGCAAATGACGCACTTTAAATTGGATATTTGCATCAACTGCTTTGGATGGAGAATCTACGGAAAGAATTTAGAATTCTATCATCTACTTTAAAATGTCATTGACTTGGCGATAGTGATAAATAGAGTCAAGCTAGTACGGTGCTACGTTACAAGAATGTTTAATCTGATATTTTACTACATCAAATGGCAATTTTACGATGTGATACATCGAAAGAGTAATCAAGACCTATCCTACATGATTTTTTCATCTCTTAACTAGCTAGTGAAAAAGATTTTAATCATAGGCAACATCTAAAGTATAAAAAAATTAGCAATTTGCCTAATTTGTTTAGTCTCTAATTAACGATATGGAATGCTCTAGATTATAGTAAAAGTAGAAGCTAATGATCCTTATAATATATTCGTAAAAAATTGATCCTACGGAAACAGGATTCAAGAATGAAATTAAACCTTGTCAACAATATAAAATACGTTAGTAATCCTTATGATATCGTCTTTATAAGTTGTTTGTATCGAAATAGAACTCGGAATAAATTTCAACTCTAGCCAATGATATGAAATACTCTAAATAGCGAACCACAGATGGAGTAGATACTAATGATCCTTATGACCTAATCTTAATAAGCTGATTTTGTGGAAAAAGGGAATTAAAATGGATTTAAACTCTAGCCAACGATATAAAATATTCTAAATAACGAACCGCGAATGAAGGGAACGCTAATAATCGTTACAACATAGTCTTAATAAATGATAATATCGAAATACTGTAGTAGTTGAAATGGATTCAAATACTAGCCAACCATATGAAATACTCTGAATAGCGAATCGTAAATGAAATAAGCATTAATAATAATCCATAGGACATAATGTTGATAAGTTGATAACGTCGAAATAGAATTCAAAAATAGGATTCAAACTCTAGTCAATAATACGAAATACTCTAAATAACGAATCGTAAATGAGTAAACACTTCTGATCCACATGACACGATGTTTATAAATTGATCCTATGGAATAGAACTCAAAAATAGGATTTAAACTCTAGTCTACGATATTTAATATTCTAAAGTAAATCGTTAATGAACCAGTCAATAACAATCTTTATGACATTACGACTTAATAAAATGAATCATGTACCGAGCAGTACATAGTAGCGCATATATATAAGGTACCGGTAGTTAAATAACAAATAAAAAGTACGCTAAAATTGATTAAATAAAATACTTTAATTACCGAAAAGTCGAAATACTTTGGTAAAAATATCGCCAACGACCACGCAATAGCCCATTAAAGCTAGTGATTGAAAATGAGAGATAGAAAGAAAATTAACTCGTAATTATCATGGAGTTTTGATTCTACATCAATAATAGAGCATTTATTTTACAACTATTCTCTCTAGAAAAATAGTTTTAGTACAACGTAATTGATAATATTAGTAGCAGGAAAAGAATATGATGATTGTATTATATACCAATAAACGGATACAAAAATTGTGTCAAAAGTGCTATAACATGGCCTGGCTTTCCAAATGCGGCGGTCATTACCCCCTGTTATTGAATATCGAATGAAAAAGTTGTATTTGCCTTTGCTCTATTTGCACTATTGCTAGCTAACAATATTCCATCATAAGAGTTGAACAACAACAACATTGAAAGCTAGCGATAACAATTCGACTCTCCATAATGAATATTTTATGAGGACTTGGTGAGCAAAACTTGTAACTTACACGATAGGAATTCTCATCGGTTATCGTTCCGGCTTTGATTAGCATGATGAGGCCATAATCTACCGTTAAAGAAATTGACTTCAATTAAACATTTGAGGTATATACTTCTATTTTATTTAACTATCAAGTAATGAAATCATTTCTATATCAATGACGATAGTTTCTTATTGAAAATTAATGCAATAAATGGGCTACAATTGCTTCAAATGCCTTTGGGTTTTAATACGGCTTTAGATAAATTGGCCGCTTCCACTGCTAAGAATATTATTTATTTACGCCTAATAAAAGTAAACTTGTTTCCATAGCTTAGAATATCATTAATATTCATTTGGCAAACTAATTTAGAATGAGTCGGTAGTTGAAATGGATTGTATTATCGATCGACATTAATTAGTTTCTGATGAAATAACTGCAATTCATTAATGAAATGAAAATGTTTCCTGATAAAATGGTCGCTTTAATGAGTTTAGAACATGACTAAGATCAACATAATGAATCCTATTCAATTCCAATCCAGCTGATTGCGCATCTACAACAAAAATATTCTTGGTTTAATAAGTATTATGATGGCAATGATAATTCATAAATAACCTTAAGATTTTCTACTAGGCTCTGAGAGAAATTTTTTATATATTAACTACCACTCAATTTGTCAACTCGATAGTCACTTCTACCATTCTCTATTTCATCTAAAACTATTAATTTAGATTGGATTTTAATTCTTTCTTTTCATTGATAGAGTACTCAAACACATTTAGAATAATGTTTAAATGTCTGCAAGCCACCTTTGATACTAGTAACCGCCTCGATTTTGCAATCTATAAAAATTTCAATCTTTGAACGAAACAGTTTCGATATTCAGCTAACCTTATATTTAAGCTCTAAAAATCTGTCTATGATAATGGTAATCCATATGATTTTTGCAACTTATAAGGAGTTCATTCTTCAAGAAGAATTATTTTAATATCTGCCGTGACCTCTTTGTGAACTCTACAGTAAATTTCATTCAATTTTTATTTGAAACGATTTATTGCAATTTTCACCAACTCCTTTCATTAATAGTAAGCGAAAACAGTATTTAAATGGCCATAAATCTATCTGTGACAATGGTAATCTGTATAATTTCTACAACTTAAAAGGGCTTCATTCTTCAAGAAGAACTATTTTAATATCCGACGCGACTTATAGTAGATTACACTCAATTTTCACCAACTTCTTCCATTGATAGCACGCTGAAATACTATTTAAATGTCCATAAGTTCGTTAATGACAATGGTAATCTGCCTGATTTTTTTGTAATTTAGAAGGGTTGCATCAAGGAACTTTTTTGATACTTATACACGTATGTTTGTGAACTAAATGGCGAACTTTGGTTCAATTTTCATCAACTCCTTGAATTGCTAGTACATGAAACGTAGTATTTAAATATTTCTAAATCTGTCTTGAACACGAGTAACCTGCATAATTTAGCCATTTATGAAAGGTTTTAATACGAATAAACTATTTTGATGAATTATTTTTTTAAAATAATCTATATTATTATTTTGCGGCTTTTCTAATTTTCAATGACTAGTCAAATCAAGATTTTCTCATTTACTATTGATCTCCTAAAATGGGTGATCATCCCCGACGTATTTTCTACATTTTACCAACTAAAGAATTCCTTACCGCTTATTATGGCTACCAAAGTTAAGATGATAATCCCTAACCCTAAACCAGCGAGTCGGAAGGAATAAGGTATCCCTAAAATTAGTTTCGTAAAATCAGTAATCTGTCCGTCAAAGCCTTGCTCTGTTTCAATAGTAATCATTCTGCACTATAATATTTGCAATCAGTTTAAAAATCAAAGACGAATGCACCTTATTTAATGTCTCCAAGTTAATCCGATTGACATTACTTACCGATAATCCCAGCACCAATTATAGTATTGAGGATATTAAATATACTACTCGCCATGCTACCAGTTTCTTCATCCTTACAATCATCATCGTCCGTAGAATGCTGCCACATTATTAAATTATATTGATGGAGAGACATGAGAATAGTTAGTCCCGACTGAAACAAGGAAAATATCCAAATCTTTCTATCACTCTATTCATAAGTTAATTGAAAATCGTTGGCTGCTGTATTATTATTTAGTTTTGGTGCAAACAGCCAAAATTAATTAATATTTCGGTAGTAGCGATTAGTAAGTATTAAATTAGTTAGGAATGACTTAAATATTAGTCACAAGCGTAGAACTAGAACTAGAGCTAGATAAGGTAAGAGGAATAGCGACTGTCCATTTCGACTATAATTATCCGCCATTTATTCTTACTTAGTCTTACCGGGATTAAAGCTTGTTTATCATTATACTGTCACCATTAGATTGGTTGATGAATTGGATCAAACAGCAGGTAAGTTTAAAGTAAAGGAGGAAAATAAAATGGAAATCAAATAATTTCAAGTTAGAATTGCTACAAGAACGCGATAAAACACCGTTATTGCCAGTTATTTTACTCCTTGAAACGACATAGACAGTATAGAGTCATATCTGAACGAATAAACTAGCGATAGAGTAGACTATTCCCTCACTTCTTCCTCTATATCTTCCCTTTCATCATCGTCTAAATTGGCTTTAATACCAATCGAGGGGACTGGAATTGGCTCTGTTTCATCATCGCCAAGCTGGTAACTGCCATTCCCTTGCCGATGATCCTTTCCATTCAGCGTGTGGCTATCCGATAATTCTAAGTAGCCTTTTCGATTCATTTTCTTCTCGTCAGATTCTGTCATATCCTATAGACAATCATAATTTTAGATATTTAGCAAAGGCTTTACGTTACCTAACATATCCTCCAGTAATAATTAATAGACTACTCTCTACGAACAAATACGTTGGCATAAATGTGCCATTTTCAATGCAGAACCAATACAGTAAATTCAACGTAGTAAAGCGGACATTAATAATTAATATAGGAAGAAACAATACTGGAGAAGATGTTATGAAAAAAGACCTTACGAGATGTTTAAAGGCGTATTTATAATTCAGTATTTAGTTCAATCGATCGTTCATTACTGTACTACATCAGAATGTTCGTACGACCAGGAGTAGGAAAGTAACGATTTAAACTACTTCTAGTGGAATAAATTCGTAATAATGACCAAGATGGAGTGCCGCTACACTCTATACAGTAATTAGTATTCGTCGTTACAACGAAAGTAATCGTTTCCTCTTTTTTCTAGGCCAATTTTACGAGTAGATACAGCAATTTGATACTAGGAAAATTGATTCCTCATTCGAGTAGCTTGATCTTATACCATCTTGCTAGGCAGGGCCGCTAATTAATGATCTATTGTAGTGATTCTTGAGGATTTACGTACGTTATTCTAATATAGAAAATTTCCTTTACTAATTAAAGGAGAAAGCGACGACAACATGTAATAATAATTGTTTCGCTTGTAGACAAAACTTTTATTCTAACTGATTCTTCAAATTTTGACCGAGAAGCCATTGTCATCATTGGGTTACCCTGCGGCAATTATATGCTAATTGCGATTGTATTCCATCACAGCAGCGTTTACTTCTTTGTCTGTGATGGCCTATGAAAACAAATTAGTTATTGTACTAGTTAGTTATAAGCATTGAACGATATGGTGAGTAATCATAGTGTAAGAGTGCGAAGCATGAGTTAAAGGGTTCACTTTGCGAGAAGGATGATTGCCATCTTCCTGTCCTAATAGTCATACATTATGCTTTTATATCATTTTAAAAAGCAGAAATCGCTAACAATATAACGGTATTATAAGATAATATCCTAATACCAAATTAAATAAATGAAGTTAAGAAAATTCCCTCTTAACTCTTCTACTAACTATATGCTTTCAAATAATAAATTTCTCGATCTATTCTTTCCAGCTGCATATTTCAGGATGCATCTAGGGCAGTATTTTACTGCAAATGATTGCGCAGCAAAGGCTTATAAACGCATGTTACGCCCCAGGTATATAACTACTCTTTCGATATTTGGTGAAAGGTTTACAATACTTCATACCAGAAACTAGAAACTGTCAATAAAGCTTATATCATGATAATTATTTTCAAATAATGCGAAAGCTATGATATTTTCCACCTACATACCACTGGTACTATCCTCATAGACGGCTAATTTTAGCGTTGCTACAACCCTGTTCTTGTATTATGACATTTCCCGAATATATTGATATCTTTCGAAACGCTAGTTTATAGCTGTAGTAACTTAAATTCAGTTCTTACCATGATTTCTATATGGATGGTATAATATCGAAAAAAATTTTTATTCATAATTATTTGGCTTAATTTCAGTGTTAGAAATTTCACTTGCACTACCTTAGTGAAATTAATCCAGAATAGGGTAGAAACTTAAAATATGGTAGGGTATACGAAACGATCACTGTGAAAGTTTAATTAAAATATCCTGTAGTACTTTAACTAGCAGGAATTGATTCATTTCTGTCTGATAGGACTAAATATAGCAGAATATGCGTTACGATCACGTACGAAAGTTTAGTTAAAATTTACCCTAGTATCTAGACTAGCGGGAATTGATTTCGTTCCTATCTTGTAAGATTAAATATAGAAGCGTACGCGTTACGATCACCTATGAAAGTTAAAAATATCCTATAGTTCTTGGGCTAGAAGGAGTTGATCTCGTTCCTATCTAGTACGACTAAATATACCAGGTTATGCGCCACGATTACGTATGAAAGTTTAAAATGTTCCCTGGCACTTGGACTAACAGATTGATTTCATTTCTATCTGGTAGGACTAGATAGATTTCGCTATAGGACAGCATTTGCAAACTCTCAACAGCTTTAGTTACCTGTATACTCCGAGATATCGGCTGTAAGCTACGCATAGATACCGTATCAAAGACACGAAATTTTCCTATGGTAGAGCTGTTTAAAAATAAACTATGACGCATTAACAAGTCAATAACTGAGAGTAGTTATAATCATTGCATTGAACATCAATATTGTATTTTCTGCCCAGATAGCTTGACGTCAATACATTAGTTTAACTCTTCTATTATCATTCATATAAACAGCCTTGGCAACTAAAATTGAGATTGAAATAAAACAAAGCATAAAATTACTACTGGTTTGCATATTGTACGTAAAGGCCAAAGAAAGCTTCGATACTTTCGCTTTCTTAATATTAATTTCTAGAATAATTTTATATTCAATATACAGGTATTTTGCCATTACAAAAATAACATGATGCTTACACCTTAGAATCTACATAAGCCCTGGATATTTTGATTTAGACTGTTTAAATATACTCGTAGTTTTACCTTCTTTTGATTACCAATATGTCATAACTGCGAATAGGTGACTAAAAATGGTGTTACAATTGGCGTATTGTTGAAGGTAAAGACAGCGGATATTTATTTATATGACGGGACAAAAAATTATGAGAAGCGATGATAAAACTTTGGTGCGGTACTTCTTCATCATTTAGAATTAAAATATTTTAGGTCGCATCTTGGCCGATATCGGTAGCCTAACGGTTTGGAGCACTACATTAAAATTGTTATAGATATGGATTTAAAGGTTAGATTAACATGGCCTAGGTGTTATGAATTATTGAGACATTAAAGCTAATTGCTGCATTGTACGCCTGTTTCCTATCAATTACAATTATTTATTAATTGCCTCCTCAGTGATTTCATTCTATTCATACCACTACACTGAAAGGCCTAATATTGTCTTGATAATGTCAAAAATAACAGGTAAAATCCATTATTAACTAGCACATTGGTAACAGCTGGCTAGAACCTTACTTTGAGAAATAGACAAGTTATTTTATTATTTTCTACGAAATAGTTCAATAGACTTTGAAATAATCAATGCCCTGGCAACATTTTCTCTAAATCTGTATCTACGAGATGTAGAATCTCACAGACAGCTATTACGGATCCTATCAACGTACTGGATTGATACACTCTTAAATGATCAAATACCCCATTGCAAATACAATTATAATTTACAGGTATAAAAATGATAGAGTATTTAAGAAGGGTAGACTGATTTTGTTAGTTCAACAATTTGAACAACTGAAGATGGAGCAATAGATATCGTTACATAATATTGATTACTTGATTTAATTGGCATATTTACCTTTACTTGTTAATAAGATTCTACTCTTGGCAATGATCAGAGAAAATCAAATTTAACCTCAAGAAATGTAATTTAATAATTTTAATATCGTTTTAGTACTGATGATATAAATTATTAAGCGATAAGTAAATTGCCTCACAATCAATCACAGCTAATATATGAAACTCAGGAAGCAAACTTTAATTTAGCGTTCATTGGCTTAATCTCTGTGGTAGTTGATATTATTGTTCATAATTAAAATATCAATTGCTGTCGCTAAATAGTACTGTCTTATTTTTATGAGCCTGTATTCTTTTAAAAGGCGTTGTTTTATATTCCAAAATAATATGAGTATACATAGTAGCATTCTTATTATAAATATCATTGAAATTCTTATTTTTATACAGTCAACTTGAATAAAGCCTATCCGGTAATTAAGACCGGTGCATAGTCTTTATTACTTCATAAAAGTAAGTAACAGTAATATCTCATTGTCTTTACAAAATGAAAATACCATATGTGCTTATTCTAAATGTATTCAACATACAATATCATATAAATCGAAATTATATCAAGATGATTATAATTTAATTATATATGATAATATTATAGAAACTTTTATATATCATACGTATAAATTACATTCATCAGCATCCCGTTAGATAAATGTAGAAATATTATAGTATCGAAAATGGTAATGCCAGCTGAATTAAAAACAATTGTAATAGATAGATTCGAAAGTTTTACAAATACCACTACAACACAAGTTCTTTGACGTATCACTCAACCTATATTTATTAGCCTTTACTAGCTAAATTATTATAAAATAAGATCACTGATAACATCCAAAGTTCATTAATAAGTATACTTAAATTAAGATGAAGATGATGACGGTAAAATTCAAAGACTTATAAAAATTTTTACATTAGCGACTTGATGAAATAATTATGATCCATTGCAATTCCATAACGAAAAGAAGGGTTTATGTATCAATAATTCACATTCGTTAATCGATATCTACGAAATCAATATTCAACTGCCGTAACAAATTAAATGTTAAGTTTACTCATAGGTATACTTACATTTTAGACAATAATAGCGAAATATGTTGAGCTCAAATGAACTCATTAACTTAATTTTAAAATGGAATATTAGAGATCCATCAATTTTAATGTCGGTAAATTCGAAACTGATATTATTGTAAAAAGTCATTACGTACAAGCATTTAAACTTGCCCATAAATCACATAGGTATAGAGTTGTTGATAATCCAAAATTTAAGTATTGCTTTGGTTAACAATAATTTGTGATGATTATTGAATCAAATTTGAACATTTGTACTCACAGAGAATTCTATAAAGAACTTAAATCTATAGCGTTATTAGAAATTTATACCCATGAAAATGAGGGTCCAATAATATCATCAACAATATCCTAAGTAATATTTATGAATGTATTTGTAATCTGGTCTATACAGGCGCAAAGCGACGACTTTGCATAAACGGTTGCTTTCAACCAGAAGGTGATCATAATTTATAATTATAAGAAGCTATTAAGTCTTGAGGATGCTTTTCTCCTTATTATCATCAAAAAGTATGGATATTGCTAGTCTCTTCTTGTTGACCTAGTATAATGAAATTGAATCGATTTGACAATTGCATAATATACGGCAAAGTTTAGCAGTTCAATCATCTCTGCGTCTTCATTCGAGCTTATTAGTAAATACGTCAGCCTTTTATTCGGATTAGGCGCGCTATTCCTTAGATATTTTCTCAGTTTGACAACAACATATTCACACAATCTCATGTTTGATAGGATCCAATCACATTAGGCTGCTTAATTGTACTTAGAAATTTACGATGTAATATTGGTAGGTATAGACTACCGTGTAATCGTTGCAATTCTACATTTACTGACTAATACCTTACTAAATAATACACCACCGTCACCATTTAATCATATAAAGATGGAATCGTTAACTGCATGCGAACGACAACCCATCCTTATTTGAATATATTACACTTTATTAGCATCAAAAGTATAGTATAAGAACCTCACAAAGTTCGTTAATAAGCTCGAAATGAAACTTTTTTGTGGTCTTACACGTATACATATTCAAACAATTAATTATGGTAGGTATTTCAGTAATATGCTCGTACTTTATTGATACGAAATCGACACCTTATTGTAAGCAGAATCAAATGTGTCGTGTAATATGATGTAAGAATCTCACAAGGTTCACTAATAAGCCCGAGATAGATTTTATACATTGGTACAATACTCTTGTTGCATTTATACAAAATCTACGCCCGTTGATGTATTACATCGATTTTGAACAAGTGTTTCTTTTATTCTAGTGATTATGTAGCCTTTATCCATATATCTAGAACATTTTTGAGCATTGTTAATTCTAAATAAATTTACTGATGTTATAATTTGTAACATATCTTATACTAAAAGTATTACCACTTTAATAATTATAGACCATGATAACATAGATATTACACTCTGAGCTTAAAAGACATTCCAACATAACACTAGATTCTGACATACCAAGACATAATTTAATTCTGTTACTATAGTTAATAATCACAATATCATTTATAACAGGATTAACGAAATGAAAATAGATTAATTGCTTGATATCTCGAAATAACCATAATAAGATTGCAATAAATCTGTAGCGTTGATCACATGATAGTTTTTTAAGCAATGAAGTTTTTTCTTTGAGAAGATGAAATTAGTCGGAAGTCTTACGTATTAGCAAAGTATACTTTGCGTAATTTATTTAAGTTGCCTTCTGCTAAAATTTGATTTTATCAATCATGAAAGCAAACATTAAGCACTCGTAAATACAAATTTGTATATATTAGCTAAGTAACCAGCAAAGAAAGCTGATCTTAGACAACGTAGCTGTAAATACTTTGGTAGCATAATCTATATATATGTCTATGTAATACTCATCCATCATATTAGTAACACTGGCCTGTAGATACATAAATTACCGTATCTAGTTAGCAAGGCGCATAATAATTTCTGAGTTTCAATGCTATATTTGTATATATGTATATATATATATATCATTGCTGTCCTCTAATAGGAAATTTTATCAAACGTTTAGAAGTTAATAGGGTATTCTATAATTGAAATTGGAATTATTATGGAGGAAGTGCTTTGAAATTAGCATATCCTGTCACTACATTTCAGAATCACTTATCAATATCATTGTGAGTTAGATGGCAATTTCCGATACCAAATTTTGTGTAGTGTAACTTAAGCAACATACGCTTTAATTATACATGTATTTAGCTGGTCTATAGATGGTAAAGTTAGTTACTTTCAGTTTAAGTTGCAAAAAGGTAATATTTAAGCTAAATATGCAACAAGCAGTTCAGAACATAAGACACTACTATGTAATAATCGCTCCATACGATAGTTATGGTGGCTTTAGTTTTACGACTTTTTGGGCAGATCAACTAATCAAAATATCTAGCGGAAATTACAGAGATAACTCAAATTGTATCTTCCTGGTTTACATAAGCATAATTGTGAACTCTTACACTAACTAGTAGAGTTAAAATGATAGTGAATGGATTTCACTATTAAGACTTAAGGTTAACACTAAATTGGGGCAATAAATAATCTCGGATATCACTTCATCAATCATCCATCATAGGCAAATCCGTTTATGAAGATACTGGTTAACATCAATATGTAATTAGAGTCTAAAACTAGTCGCATTAGTCACAAAAGGCATAATTCATGAAATGAATATATTTATGAAGGTAGAATTAAGTCTAAACCTAGATATTCCGGTAATATCACTGTACCGTATATCTCCTTTTGCATATAATCAAATTAGTCCCAGAATTTTGACACTTTTAACATTACTTATGGCATTAACTTAGATAATTCGATGATGTTGCATTACCTTTGATTTTTATTAGGCTAGCTCTAAATGCCTTGTTGATAAGTAATGATATATATTTTGAAAGTATAAAAGTATTAAACTTTGCTATTTCGGTGATGCTTGAAATTCAGTCGTAAAGGACACTGATATTAATATCACCCAAGACAGCTGCAGCTTTTTCAGGTATCATATATCTACCTATCTGAATTGACTGCCAATCAAATAAGTCATAAAAGATATAGATAATATTACAATTGCTGTTAGTCTTCTTCCAAGAGGGTCATAAGATTCCTATTTTAAATCCATCAGTATCATGATTATGTTAACTATACGTACAGTAATTGGAGGTAGTAACTGTATCATATCGCAGAATTACTTACAACCCACTTGAATCAAATCGCATTAGTAATAAAGGCTGTTGGTAGTGTTTAAATCAATTGTGGCATTACACCAAGATAACTGTGGTTTATGCGTATTAGTACACTCTCTTGCTCCCAGTATAGAAGTGATAGTACCCAAGATTAAGACTACGATACCAATCACTAAGATGATTGCAGATATAACTTTGCGAGGAGCATAATTTGATCCTTCAGCCAGTTTTATATAGCAAGCACAAGGAAAAATAAAAACTAAAATGGTGAATAATGAAAGAGAAATATTATTAGTATGTTTACCGCTCATGTTGGACTGCCATGCCATTTTTGGTTAATTTATCATTTAGCAAACCAATTTCTGATATCATCAGCACTACTTCCAAGTAGAACAACCGCTTAGATCTAATATATTTAAATGCTATTTATCACCTAATTAGGGTTGGGGTATCGTTTTCGTTAATGTATCATTTCAAATGACACTTTTAAATCTAAACTTGACCTTACTAACAGTGTAATTATCATATGAGTTTACTATTAGTTAATATATTATCTAGTGCTATTTCTTGCCTAGGTGTTAATGCTATACCATTCCCAGTAATTGACCATATTATAGCATTTTTCTGAATTAAAGCTAGAGAGAACTATCAAATAAGTTTAGATATGGGTAACTAACCTAATGGAACTGCAGCTATGCTTCCCTATAAAAAATTAAAATAGATATTGTACTCGTTAAATTGAGAGAATTCGCATTCATTGTCATCAAAATGGTAGTAAAAATAAGTACATAAAGTCCGAGGACCTACAACCAATGCGTTAGATATAGAGAATGGACAGGTAATATCCTATAAACTACAAAATGCCGTTTCCTATATAAGACATAATCTCTCACATTTAGTTCTAGAACTGTGCCAAGACAGTCAGTAACCATTGGAATGGGTAAAGTCGCAGCGATAATTGCCAAGGTAACAATGATATGACGACTGGTTGATTCTTCTCGCCCAGCAAAAAAGACAAGTTCTATAATCTACGTGGAAATAATTTTAAAGTTATACCTATGATATTTCAATAAACTTCAACAGCTAGCTATTTGCTTGTATTAGTTCTATCTTACTTACTTGTCTACATACGAAGCATTCTATAGGATAAGTTAACATCATGGTTATACCATAACATAAGCGTGCAATGGTCACCAAGAAATCATGACTGCAATAATTCTCTAAAATATCCGCTGTTAAATTAAATTATAAGAAAGAAAAGACTTGAATTAGCATCCCGACTTAACCTTTATATCATTAATATTTAGCCTTGTCAACAATATAAAACTTCATAGTTTAACGGAGACATTAATATACCGATAGAATGAAATGGATTACCTTGAGTATGGCCCGTAAATGTCATATAGCCAGCAACGGATAGCAATATAACCGACATCCACGATAGAGAAACGGAAATATGCGTTACAGTCATAAAGCGATCCATGGTATTTGTCTTTAAGGAATTATAGATTAAGAACGTGTTGTGATGGCACACGAAAGCTGAAAATGGAATAGAGCAATGAATAGACGAAATTTTGTATACGAAGTAATCCTGAAATGATCGATATCGGCTGTCTTTCAGACATTGCTGCGATAGCACATAATAGTATGATAGGAATTAGAAAAACAACTGAATCGAAGTTTTTCTCATTCGAAAGTAACGTAAAGTACTTGTCTTGAAGAACTAATAAGGATTAGGGGATACAGTAAATAAAAGTTAGATAGAACCATGGAGAATAGGGTTAAGTTGAGAATTTATGATTCCCCGAAATGAAATAGCGAAAGACTGCTGCATCGAAAGGAAAAGTCCATGGACTACTAGATGTGTCATGCAGCATTAGAGCGATTCATGATATTTATCTACAAGGAATTAGTAGTAGGTGTCGTGATAGTATATAAAAACTGGATGGAAACTTTAAGAAAGTAATTGCATTAACTTTTTCACGATTTAGAAGCAATAGCGTAATTTTTGGTTGTATTAAAAGGAAAATTTGGATGAAATATAGTTTAAACAGCATTAGAGTAATTCATAATTTATTTATCTACCAGAAATTGTGAGAACTACCGTTATAGCATATAGAAAGGATAGCCAAGACAAAACCCAATTTATATTATTCTATTTTATCTCAATCGTTTAATATGCAAAACCCTTACCAAAAGCCATTACACCAATCGCCTGTTCAATAAGGATAAGAATTATTAGAAGAAACGAAATTGCATCTCTATTGGTACCACAGCTTATAATAGGTCATCGACTAATTTATTAAATCATAAATATCTCAATTTAGCAATAAGTAAACAGACAAGCCCACTATGAGCAATTTACCTGAGGTACGTTTTCGTGAGCGAAATTGAAAGCTCCTTCGGTGTGTGGTCTGTCAGGAATGAACAGAAAAGGAAAGAAATGTTTTAGGTACGTCTAAAAGGAACTTATACTGCCATAGATTTGCTCTTATAGTATTTTAATGTATCATAGTTACTAAACTATTCAAAGTAAAAAGACGGTAGGTTACATTTAATCACTTACATATCAGGACCAAGAGTGGCTAATCTTATAAAAACAGTGACAATAACCGCACCGACACAAATTAGTGAAAAAAACGAGGCCTGTTGTAGAAAGATTCAATTTCAATCACGATATCCACAGTTTGACAATAAAAAGAGAGAACCAAGTTTGATAATATAGCAGTATATGTACTGTACACTGAATTATAATTAGATAAGGATTCGTTTATAATTGATGCCTATACCATGCCCAGCTTTGAAATTTTCTTCAGCAAGCATAATGGCGTCATTATCAATAAAATGGAAATGCCAATAACAAATTGTCGATTGGTTAAAATAGTTGATTCGGCGCCTAAAATGCATAGAAAAAGTAAAATGATATGGATTAGACCTGTAAAGTTTGATAAAAGTAATTTATGTCAGCAACATTAGAGATAAATACAATTTCTCATGACGCCGTAATAGAACGAAGGTCACCAGGTAAAGCAATATAATTCAGTAAAAGAAGCACAAAAACATCCTGAAGGTAATACTTACCAACAAGCTGGAAAAATTTAACCAGTGAATCACCAACAATAACAGCATACCCATTCATTGCTATGTATTATATAAGAGCCATAAAATATCGAAAATTTTAGAAAACCGAAGTAATTTGCTATTCTGCTAAGGAACGTTATCTTGATGAAATCAAATCTCAGCTAATAGCAAAAACTAAAAGAGTGAGCAATTCTAATAGGGAAAGCAATTACCTAAGAATGGAAATATGAATTGACATGAAAGGACTAATCCATAACCGATATTTCCAAACGTTGATTTCATTAAACCCTGAATAAAATAATCAGATAATTTTACTCTCGTATTTAACAACAGAAATCTAAATTATTTCTTCTTCTAGAAATTACATAGATAAACTGATATAATTAGATCATTTATTGGTTCATTTGTTGTTCTCAAATTTGGCCAGTTCAGATATGGTATACTGTGCATAGTACTGCATACAATGGAGAGTTATGCTATAAATGATTTTTAGAAGCTTTGATAGCTGTGTTTTACAATAAGTGATTTTACCACATAGGAACTTTGACCAGCCATGGAACCACTTTCAACTAATAGTATAACAGTAAAATCTAAAAAGAGGAATAAAGAAAAAGGGTATTATTATCACAGTTTACAAAAAGATCCAGAGAAGTCCATAAGCATGTTTTATTTTACCAAGCCGTAGATGATTATACATATAACCCTCATAGGTTATAGCTTGCATTAATTTTGTGTATTAGAAAGAATCATATATAAGCTATGAAGAAAATTACATTCTACGATGATACTACAGCAATGCAATTTTTTCTGTATATAAAACTTTAGTAAAATTCGTGCTAATTCTTGATTCCATCAGCTCGTATATAAGATATCAACGTAATTATATCAGTGCTACATACTCGTATAGTCATTTATTCGCTGACATTAGTTATGATTATAGTAAAAATAGATAAAGACGTACATAAGACGTGCAATCATTGACAAATTAAATGAGTTTCCTTAATGTCTAATTTTAAAATCTGTAGATTATTGCATAATAGCTGTCATCAACTTGACAGACTCTTATTTTCCCCTATTATTTCTCTAAAGAACAAAATCTATCATCTATTCCGGTCAATTTTCATCCATCCTGTCTTTTAAGATAATATAATCGTCCGTAATTTAAAAGTAGATTAATATATACGTGAGTAATTTAATTAAATCATTATTAAAATTGTGACGGGTTCCTGCTTTAATAACGGTGGTCGATGAAAGTCTGGTCACATAGTTTATACAGTACTTGAGTATATCTAATAGGTTACTATTAACGATGTAAATGGTTCTGTTTGGCATTGCGGGTAGCTAATAATTACTGAGTAATTAAAATATATGTGGTGGATCATCAAGGCTATTATTGAATTCATCTACCTCTATCTTGCTTTGCAGCAGATAATAATTACCCTACACTCAATTTTGGCATGAACAGATCAGGCAACCAATAGTTAAAAACGGGTTTTTTCCTAACAATGCGGTAGTTGATTATAACCATCCAGTAATTAATATGCTTTATCCATAAGCAGATCAATGAAACTATTACAGTTATTTAGTCCCTACTTATGTGTTTAGGTAGTTTACAAATGATGAATAGCTTAATATAGGTACAAATAAATCTATCATCAAAACTATTATCGCATTGAAGTAGCGAACAACTCGTATCTAGAACTATTTGGGTATGATATTTGATATACGCTCAATAAATCATGCAATTAATATACTACGTTCATATTTATATACGTATATATAAATAGGCAAGGTCGCCAGGAAACCGCTTATTAAATTAGTATAAAATCCATAAAGATTTTACTTTATCAGTTCCATTTTACATTACTAGGTTGAGTACTATCAAAATATTATTGTTTGATGGTAAGGGGATAGCTAGCCTTTCTATCTATAACAGTCAGAAACTCGAAAATCAGTTACGATAGAATGTATAATGGAAATAGACGATACTAGACTAAAAGTCTGGAAGAAGAGATAATAGAAAGAAAATAAACCATCAAGTAATCCTGATGATTTAATAAACTGGCAGGCAATGCCAACGATCAATATTATATCTCAAGGTAATAATTCAAGAATCAGCATGGAATAATAAGGACAATTAAGAGAAAGAAAGTACCTATAAAATTTTTTTTAATTGATACTGTACCTGTTATAACAGCCATCATAGTTAACAATAAAATTCCTAGAAATAGCCCAGCTTGTTTCATTGCATAAGGCATTCCTATTTAATCAAAGATGTAGCTGTTAGTCTCATGAAGTATCTACTCTTTCTAATAAAGGATAAAATGGAAACTCAATATTAACATAGTACCACTCTATACTAGTATTCAGCTTTTAATACAGTAAAACTGAAACAAACTAAATATCTTTTCATTTTTATTCATGCTTACATCAATACAATGATACAATTTCCAATAGCAATAGATTCAAGTTGCTACTGGTTAACATGGACAATGATAACTTTACCTAAAGCTCCTGCTCCAATGATAGAATTGATGAAGTTAAAGGAACTTAATGCAATTCCACTTTTAACTTGATCTCCATTTCCACCTTCATCACTCTAATGGTGAAAAAGTCGTAGAAAAATGATTACATCCTCCTCAAATAAATCTACTATTGACGACAATATTAGTTTGAGTAGAAGCTCAAATTAGGATTCTAATACAACCCAGCCTTTTCTAAGAATTCACAGCCATGGTACCCATTTTTACGTCAATGTCCGTACAATATTAGGAGAAGTTAGTCATTTACAGAAGGAAAACTGAGCTACTTTTGGGAAGTTTACATTCTTTAATTGCTAAGAAACACTCGAAAGTTTGCAGAAATTCGATACTTAGATGAATGATTGATTTTTGATACGTAATCCATTTATAATAATGGTACTTTGCTGCTCTCTATTCAGATTTTTATTATCCAATAACTCAAATATAAATTCCAAACCAAAGATTGAATGGAGTTATGAAATTGAATATAGGTAAACTCAAATCAGAGCAATGATAAAATTCTGAACAAATTCGATTTCTAATCTACCTTATGAAATCCGTAAGAAGATAAATCTGCTAATCGTATAGCACACATACTATCGTAACATGCAGCAAGTAACTCTAGTAGGCCCTTATGTGAAAACTTAAATGGTATCATAAACGATTTATCTTAGGATTTTGAAAGCCTTCATGCAATCCGTAGCAATGTTAGGTAGTTTCTACACTATTTTGCGGTTACTGTTTCGATTTTATTTTAAATCACTTGGATGAAAGATTACAGTAAATCGGAATCGGATTGCATATAATCAACGACAAAGTTTGGAAATTGACTACGAAGCTTTGAGATCAAGCGAAAATAATGAATCATTCCCTACACTCTAGATTGCAATTCCATTCTATAAGGGGTTAAATGTCTGGCTGAAAGGAAATAAAATATTATATTTCATTCTTCAGTTCTGAATGACATTGACACCATCTGCAAAGTTGAAATCGATTTTATAGCATCTATCAATCATTAGTCTATTTTACGGTCCAGTTACTACTGTCATCAACTAAATAAAGACTAAAATCAATTCGTTCACCATCCGTAATAAAGCCGTGAAAGCTGTCCATAATCGTATGTCCTGTCAACTTTTTTGATCGATGTATTTATTCTTTGCTTTCTATTTTATGCTGTTATTCAAAAACTCAAATAAGAGCCCTGAATAGGAGCTCTAAGTAAGACTAATTGATATCGTTAAGCACTATTATTTTTATACTATATTAATGAACTCTAATAATAGCCCTGAATAAGACTAAATGATATCATTCAATATCAATCTTCAATATGGCAAATAGGACTTCTCAGAAAGGCTAAATTATATCATTCTATACCAGTATGTGATGTCATAGAACTCAAATAGGACCCTGGGTAAGATTAAATGATACCATAAAATATCAATATTTAGTATAACATCAATTAACTTAAATAGAAATCTTGACCAAGACTAAATGATTTAATAAACCATCAGCGAATAATTGGGTAACTATTTCAAATTCAATTTTGATGTCCTGCAGCCTGGGCGCAGCAAACTCTGAGTAATCAGATATTTGCCGTAAATTTATGAAATCGGGTGCCTTTAATAACGAATTATCATTCACTATCTAGATTTTATCATCCATCATCTCAACTTGGAGCAAAAAATGATGGCTAAATGAGATTATCATCGTAGTAAAATTATTCTTACATTCTAATACAAGGGGATGGCTTTGAATTATTCAAGAGTATCGCCTTCAAACTATCATCTATGAAAGGATGATTTTCCTTACCTCAATTAAAGCAGAGCGATCAGTCTGTTTCTGAGCCTAAATGAAAGCAATTTTATACGTCATTTTATTTCTCTAAGCAGCAATGCTTATTTATTAAAGATGAAATAATTCTACTCGTCTACAAGATTCATTAAGTATAGAAAGGACTTTTGCTAAGTGCTTGTCTTGAAACTAAAGTCTTTCTCTACAGAAAGGGAAAATGACGACCATCGATCAAGATGTTTACAATCGACTGCTTCTAACCTCATCATGGCCATTTTCTGGCCTGGTTATTTTCTGTAGTTCCATAGCACCTTGGTTAACCGTACCGTTTTGATAATGGCCATTAGATATTCCATTACTTAAACCATTAGATGATTTTACAACCGAATTTTTATGACTTGTTTTGTGAAATGGACTACTATAGTCATTGGGTGATTCAGGAAGCTGTTGGTAGTCGGTTTGATCCATGGTCAAGTAAAGTAATAAATGACTTTGAATGTGAAGAGGCTAATGCTGTGGATGAAATAAATCAAAATCAATAAAAATCAATTATTATATTCATAGCAAGAAGAGTAATTGTATTAGTAATATGATTCTAATTGATAACGTAGACGACTAGACAGAATTATTCTATTTATTCCAAGTCACAGCAAGTATGATTACGCCTTCAATAGATCATCCAAGCAAAGAAAATCAACTTTTACTCGACTGTCATCTATTAACTGACTGGAAAAACATCAAATTGAATAATTGTCAATTGCTGAAAGAAAGAATAGCTCAAACTAAAATGACAAAAGATTTTGCAACTTCTAATTGAATTGCATGACAAAAAGTTTCTTGTAGACTGTATAGTATTGAATTAAGCCAATAGATAGATTAAAAATGGCCATTTTATTGAATGTCTCATCTCGATGAAGAAAAATGGTGAGCTTAGGGAGCACTAGCAAAGGCGAAAAATTAAAAATTGTCTTGCTATTTTGATAGAATAGTTCGCTCCACTTATTATTTCCCTGCTTGCGGGCAATATGATATAGGTCTATGTCGACAAATACTTTTATGAGCTCATGTTGGGAGAATTGAACTATTTCAAGTGTATAAGTTGAATAGAATAAGGTAACAAGTTTAATTTAATTACATACCGTCTATTTTTTCCCCCTCTGATTTTGAATCGTGATCCTCGTGACATTTCTTCAACTTCACGTATCACTCACTAGTCTACGATTACTGCCTTCCCCCTCTATCCTACAGCAGAAATCGATATTATGGAAGACATACATGATGGAAAAAATTTCACATTGGGATATCATTTATTTGAACAGAGATATTCGAGTGCAGCTGAAGATAATTACCATTTCGAATAGGAGAATAAATGAATTTATTTAGCCTGAAGGGAAATCATAACAATAAGAAGATAACATGCAATCTTGGGAACTCTTTTCTTGTCCTTGATTATTAAAAAATTCTTTAGCTTAATATTGCTTATTATCATCCATCCTTTATACTGGTTATAATCAGTCAGTCTACGAATAAAGTAGAATAGAAATTTTATTGAACTTAATAAGATGTCATCAATTCAAATAAAAAGTCTTTATAGCATGACTATCGCGGTTATCTTTGTATCATTTGCGCAATGATCAATAAGGAAAAGGGCTATCATCGTCGATCATGGAGGATAGATTTTCTCAGTTTAGAATTGTCCATTTTATATCAAATTAACCCTGACAATCAATATTCAATTACCAAATCAAAAAAATAACTCTTACTTTTCAAACAACGAATTGACCCGAATGAAAATATGTACAAATAAATACTTACGACTGAATAATATTCTCAAGTAATGGTATAGTGTCAAGCTGGTTATGTTAAGAAAAAGGCCTTAATTTCAAATAGAATGAGACGATAGTGGACAAGTTTAGGTATAAAATGCATGGAATTTTATACGATTAAATCAGAAGAGGATTCAAGTAGCCCTAATGGAGCATTATTTCCTTCTATTTTTAACGTGATTGTTGAACTAAAGTTGTGCACATGTTCCTTGATGATTAAGATAAGAATGGTCCTAGAGTCCACTTGTCTAACTTGTTATTGAAATGACATAGTACAGCTTGTACACTATTTATTTAGACTAAAGGTTAATTACAATTCTTAAATGGATACGATCAAACGAAGTAGAGAAGCCAAGTTATATAATGTGTCGGTCTATGATTAATAATACACAATAGCTAATATTGTTTCTTTAGCTCCTACCTATAATGTAGCTTTTAGCCTGTTCGTGTAATTCAAAATGAGTCATCATGAAAATGATTATCTCAAATTATTAAGATTATTTAGAACAAGATTAGGCTCTACTTGGATAACTAATATCGCTTCTTTTGCTCCTATCTATAACATAGCTTTTGGACAGCTAGTGTGATTCAAAATGAATCATGATTAAAGTGATTACGACAAATTATTAAGATTATTATAGAAATAAGATATGGCTCTAGCTGCTAGTCAATTACGGTCTCCTTTGCTCGTATGTGTACTGTAATTCTGAGCCAATTAATGTAATCCAAAATTAATAAGAGTAAAATGATAAGGTAAATCATGAAGATTATTGTAGAATAAGATTTGGATTTGGTTGCTACTTTATACGATCATTCTTGGCTTTAGTAGCTCTGGTAAAGTCCCCTATGCTTACACTTATACTATAGCTTTGAGCAGTTAATGCAGTCCAAAATTAATAATACCAGAATGATTATGAATTATAATCATTAAGATTATCATATAACTAAATATGGATTCTGTTTATTACTCAATATCATCATTCTTGACATTGCTACTCTAAACAAGTCTTCTTTGCTCGATTCAGTAGCTTTTAGCTAATTACAATTTAAAATAAGCAAGAGATAATTGGTTATAACTAATCACTAAGATTACTAATCATAGAACTAGTTTCCACTTAATATGATTATTCTTAACTTTGCTAACTCTAGTAAAATCTCCTTTGCCCATATCTATACAGCAACTTTCAGCCAAATGATGCGGTTTAGAATAATAATAATATAATTATCAAAAGTCATCAAGCAATATTATTACGGAACAAGAGCTAGATCTAATTGCTACTCAACCCGCTCTTTCTTGACCATGGTAATTCGAACGACATTTCCTTTGCTTATATCTGTAAAGCATCTTTTCAACGAGTTAATGTATAGGAGTAAAATTAATTAAGAACAGTTATGTCAAGTAGAAATATTATCTTGTAATAAAATTTGGATCTAGTTGCTACTACTTTATACAATCATTCTTGGCTTGATTTACTCTAATAATGCTTATTATGTTAATGCCTACAGTATATAGGAGTTCGCTTTTAGCCAGTTAATGTAGTGAAATTAATAAAGGTAGGATAATTGCAATGAATCGTCTGGGCTAAATCTGATCGATGTACTTGCCAGTCAATACAATCTTCCTTGTTAGCTTTACAAACTCTCATAGCGCTTCCTTGGCCGACATCTGTATAGGGATTCGCTTTTAGCCAGTTAATTTATTAAAATAGATAAAAAAAACAAGATACTTCTATCAAATCATCAATGTTAAATTAATACTAGTTGCTACTCATCAGCAATACGATCATTCTTGGCTTTACTAACGCTAATAGCGTTCCTTTGAATAATATCATTGGAATTCGGCTATTTCTATGTAGTAAACTTAATTAAAGTAAAATAACAATATCGAATCATCAAGATTATTATGTAACAAAGTTGAAATTAATTGTTACTCTCTATTTAAGCTATTACGATACATTTAATATCACTCTTCATGTTAATATGTATATGTTATAAATTATATTATATAGCCATTTTTCCAAGATTAATATAATAATTTAACGAAAGGCGAATTCTCTTTCCGAACCATTAAAATTGCTACACTACAAGATTCAGACTCATTGTTACTCCATATGTTGCCCTTAGACTTACTAGCTTTAAGATCAAGATCATTTGTTATGATTGCAAAGATCATCCTTGCATCAATTTACACTGGGTCAGTATGCAAAATAGAAGAAAATAAAATGACCCTAGGGAATAAGCAAAATTGTTTTCTAACAAAAAATATTTGGGTTGCTTTAACACAAGATTGGATGGATCATAATGGGGTATAATGACGAAATGAGATATTCAACTATTAACATTAGATATTGGTCAACAATTAGACGAATACCCCATACGGGTACCCAGGTTAAATTAGTGAAATAGTTAATAGCGATACAATTAACTCTTTGACGACGTAAGTTGCTAGGTATAGAATTAGAATGGCCGGCAAGAAAATCATTAATAAATTTAAGACCTGATATTATTTACCATGCAAAAACAATTTTGTGGGTTCAGTTAAGACTCAATCAATATTAGACGGATATCAAAAATTTTAAAATGATGAACAAATTTAGTTTGTAACACATACACATGAAAGAGTTTTTCAATCGAGTAATGATATAGATCACTTACTGTCTTAGATATGGAGAAGTTTCCCAAGATTTGTTCGTGGCGAATTAAACTTATTATCGATACTTTTCGACACCAAGATGGAATAAGCGTTAAGGGTAAATTGCAATATTTCACAAATGTAATTCGCCACCTCGTTTCTACTACACTTTCATAGTTCCACCATACAATTATGGAACAAGGAAGTATTGTTATTATCGCTTTTATTTATATAGATGACAAAATGTGCACCAAATAGGCACGTCCGTGGGTTCATTTGTTTCTCTGTACTTTTCATTTCGATGATGAATAATAAACAACTTGACATCATGACAGGCCCATTGTTGACCTTGCACCTGTGATTAAATTTCACCAATCTTTGCCTTGTCTTGCTTACACGTGATAAATTGAACTCTATTTCTAAGTCTTTGTGTCAATAGATAACATTATTAATTATTTTCATAATCTATGAGATCTAAAGTACATTTATTAATCTTTCTGCTTGGATTGCTATTCCAGCTAATGACTTGTAACTATGCCGTCGCTAATATCGGCCTTTGACTCCTTTCAATTTGAATTATATAACTGAATGAGGTTGCTGCCTTCCTAGACTGAGTTATGATCAATAATTCATGGATAAAAAAGCATCCTGAGCTCCCTCTGTGATTGAAATAGATTATGGGTTGTAATTTAATAATAGTAACTTCTACAGATGCTATAATTGTAGCAGGAGATTCAGTATTGGACAAAATTTGCCCTTGAATCACTCTCATTACTGCCCTGGACAACTATATCTGGTAGATACCTTTTACTAACACTATAAAACATGCACCGTCTTATTATCCATCTCCACTGATTGCTTTTTAATAAGCGAAGCGGAAAGATTGGTAGTTATGTAATCATCACTACAAATGCTGGTATACTAGCTGGTAGCTGAGCGCTAGTTAGCTTACTATGGATGATTAATTATAAATTATGTAACTAATACAACTAATTGGATAAAATAAAGAT